TTTTTTTTTTTTTAAATTAAATTTAACGAATTTATTGCAAAATAATGTAAAAATTTCGAAACCCGAAATGTACTGAAGAGACGATAGTTAATAAATGAATTATAACTCAAAAATTTGAATATATTCCGGATTCCGGAGTTAATCTTCTTGCCAATGATCGATTAGGAAGAATAGTGAACCTCTAGTGCGGAAAAACAATTGCTTTATATTTCGAGTTGTTAAGTGTATTATTTCATTATCTTCGGCAGTGATATTATGTTTGCGGGGGCAACGTATTACAGCGCCAAATGCTGATATAGTATAAAACATATCATTCCGGTCGACTAGCAAACTTTCAGCGGATCCTAATAAGCTGCCAAGCAGTTTCAGTTGTAAGCCAGCATTAACGATTTTCGACGAATTGCTAATATACAGTTTACCGTCTTCATCAGCGATTAAAATTTCCTTTTGATGATTGAAAGCAACATTTCGCGGTTTAACTGGTAAGCTGACAGCGATATCTTCATATTTCTTACTCAGCAATGGATATCGAAACCATTTTTGCTCGAAAATATCATAAGCCATTAAATGTGAATCGTTAGCTAGAATAAAATAAATGAATTGTTCCATACCACGTTTACCCATAGCCGGTCCCAATTTAATATCCAATAATTGCTCAGGTGTTATTTTCATAAATTTTTGACAATCAATCCGTAACACTTCCATGCCGTGACGTATGAAATCAAAAGCCAATAATTTCGGAAGACAATTATTTTGCTTAGCTGACCAATCAAAGTCCAAAACCCATAAGCGTTGAAAATTATCCATCTGTGACCATCGCGCTTGTTGTATTAGACGGCAATTCCTCTGATGATTGGTATTATGGAATGAACGATGGGGAAACACTTTGGGAATAGGAAATCGTATACATGTCGTTGGCCATTCGGTTTCAATAAGTGTTGGAAATATTTTACTTTTCGTTTCAATGCTAAGGTACACATGATTATTATTGTTTGTCGATATGTGCAAGACACGATAAGGTTCATTTAAGCCAATTCTAGTCAATAACCATGATGCCGATGAAGTAATGAATACAATTAGTGCCGTTAATAATATGACTGAATTATGCATGAACATGTCAATAACTGTTCTTTTTCTATGGACGAGTGCTTAATCTGCACATATCGTTAATAATTTATATGAAGCGGCGTGTACCAATAAATGCCAATAAATAAAAGGTAAACTTCGATTAGCCAAACGACAAACGACATACGTTGAGCAATACCTTACTTAAAAAATTGATTCTTCTAATGTATAGGAAAACGTGCATGTACTTAGAAAGCACTCCAAGATCGCTATATTCACCCAACCACTGCCGTAGTGGATTGCGTCAAATTCACTTAACAGTCGATTATAGTGTTTTTTAACTTTTTGTGTTTTTGATGATCTTAGCAAAAAATACTGCATGCAGGTTAAAGTTAAAATTGATGCCAACAGAAGTATGCGACTATAAAGCAAAATTCGAATTGGAGTGCAGTGTCTTAAAGAATCTAAAGGCATATTAAATTTTTTAATGCATTTGTAATGACAACAAATGATCAAATGAAGGAAAAGTACCTTTCCAACAAACGTCAATTAATGCAACCGCCCGAACCAAGAAACCAGAAAAAGAGATGTACATAAATTATGGATTGGCGCTTGATAAATTTGTAGACTTTTTCTGATCACCACAAAGTGTTTGCAAAATCGAAAAGCAAACCTTAGCATTGGTATACAGGTTTACATGGATATTGCTAAGTATTGGAAATCTAAACCGATTTAAGCATTTACATCTGTCCATCTATCCGTGTGCTTAATGTCCTCTGGTAAATGATATTGCTGCTCGTAAAAATTTAGAAATCGTCTTTAAAGTGAGGAAAAACATTTGAAGCTCTCGCACCCAAATTGATGCTGAGAAGTGGCCACGCCTACTCTACCGCAAGAACGTCTCTGTTTTTAAGTATCAGGAAAAAATTAAGTTCATTTTTCGATGCGGTCCAATGATAGAAAAAGAAATTTTCCACGTATATGTTGTGCGTGATCGATCCCGTACAATGTATAAGCAAAAGGGGGAAAAAATCAAAGATGTTCACCGCCGAGCTCATACAATATTAAAATTTAATTTTTTTTCTTTTTATTTCATGTGTGCGGATGTAAAATATTCGGTCAAAATCTAACATAATTTTGTTCCATGTTTGAAATGCGAATTTTGGGAAATTCTGAGATTATCTTTTAATAAATAATTCTTTTTTTTTCGCAATTATGCAAATCAAAAATGATGAAAACTTTGATATAGATATTAGAACGTCGATATGTCGATGCGTCAATGCGCGCAATATTAACGAAGCCTGATTAATTTCTTAGAGCATCAAAATGGTGAAAATGCCAGATAAATCTGTTTAAAAATGATTCGACATTCTTGAATAAGATTGAGGTTAAATCTATTTAACCGTTAGCCCGCAAATCCACGAAAAGAGAACCTAAAGAGAGCGTTGGCGCCAGTTTTTCAAAACAAAAAAAAACGGCTTTACTTTCTCGATAAGGATATGTTATAGCGTGACTACTCCGTATGAAAAGATGCATCAGTTATCCGGCCGAGCAGTACGTAAAATGTGTTTTTGTGAGCTCTGAATACGTCTGAGAATACTGTGTCGAACAGAGCGGCAATCTTGGCAAACATTACTTTCCCCGAGTTAATTAGGCAGGAGTATGAAGGCAAATGACACGATGCGATGCTGAAATTTGAAAAAAATCAGGCTACAGCAGCTGAAGGAAACTGTTAACATCAACGGTGAAATCTTTCTCTGAATTACTTTGGCGAATCTCTTTAAAGTGAATTAAATATGTATGTTAGGTATGTTATGTTATGATGAAAAGGCAATTAATGAAATCGGGCATTCTGTCCGTCTTCTCCGTCTTGTGAACCATGATACAAAAAAAAAAAAAAAGACATACTTACTGAGGTTACCTAACCTCAAAAAATCGCGAGCCAGTGTCTGGGCGTCTATCTCGTTATCGAGCAAACTCAATCGTAATTTGTATTTTCTACTCGTTAGCAATTTTGGGATCGAAAGACTTTTCTCATTCGACAGTCAGAAAAATGCATACTTTGTCGACGGGTGTCAACTCTCCAGGTCGTTACAGCGAATCCATAATCCACAGCTACCACAGCTCAGCTGCTCTCTCGGCAATGGAGTCCATATCTGTCAGAAAGTTGGGGGGGAATGTTCAACAAAAAAAAAAACAATCACGATTTCTTATTAGATTTCTTACTCTTAGGCGAAAAATGGTCAAATCATTCTCCCTGTAGAGGTAACGCTTCATAAGCTAGCAAAGAGGACTTTTTCTATTTCGAAAATATTCTTATTCATTACTTTTAAATAAATTTTATTTTTATCAACATTTCCTTTCCTCCCAATCATCAAAACCTATATCGATTTTGATTTCAATAAGTAACAAAATTATATTCAACTGAGACCGATTCCTTTACACTTATCATCGTTGTTCTCGATTTTTTCCTATGTGTCGTTTTCATCATGTGTCTAGTGTAGCTTATCAATGTAATGGATAGAAAATACAGAGGGTAAAGTTGTTCTCAGTATTTGTTGCATTATAAGGCGTGCCTGTCATTTTGGAGAATTTTTACCACAGGTACCACACAATTGCGCAATTGAACAAATGGACAAACGAACAGAGTATATGGTACTGCAGGCGTGTCCTTTGGTCAATTTCAATCAGTTTAGATCATTTTGGAGATTAACTTGCGTGCTAGAACTTTCCATTTTTTTTTTTTTTTTTTTTTTTTTTTTTTGCTGCCAAACGAATGTTTATCACAGACAGATAGACGGACAGACTGATCAAACATATGTGTACTTTTAGAGAGTCTGTGAAGCATGCTCGTCATTCGGTGGTGAGTAGAAAAATCAGCAACACTCAGCCGATTCGATTGAGTTTTGTCCTCTTTTTTTAATCTTTTTTACGATAGAGGCGATGAGCATAAAAAAGATTCGGTTATAGCTGAATATAATTTTCGTAATTGTCTTACATGTTTTATGTTTACTTTAGTTTTCAAGATACCGAAAATGTATGCCCACCTCGATCAAAGTGAATGAGAAATGAGTCAGCGTTTCTTCGGAGAAAGCATGCAGCTAAGAAATCGAAATCTGGCTCGTACATTATTCTATATATAAGAAATATTGTGCGCACACAAACACGCACTCAAAAGACAAAAAAACTGAAACAATCTCGAAAAGAACCGTACATTTGTAATTATTTGCATCCATAACTTACGATCGCGTGGAGAGATTTGTGAAAAATTTTTACCCTGGTATTCAATGGAATCGTTCGCATATTCCGTCTGAACAGTTAAATAGTTGACAAATATATCCTGTTTTACGTTAATTGAATGATGTTTAATACTATCAGTTTTTGTACTTTTTCAATGTCACATCAAAAACAAGTAAGAAAATCAAGTTCGGTCGGGACCGAATCTTTTGCACCTATCACAGTTTACCCCCCAACAAAAAAAGAACACAAAAGACGTAAAAGAACAAAATGCTCCTGGATTTGTTTTTTTTTTTTCTAAATAAAAGTTTTTGTCGTGCAGTCATGTGGGCATTGTAGGCGTGTCCTTTGAAAAGTTCTAGTTCAGGTCAATTCCAAATTTTTTTGCAAATTTCTCTTCATTTTCGCTAATGGGAACATATTTACCACAAACATTATAAAGTTGCGCAAACAGACCGATGGACAGACGAATAGGCGAACATGTTTAGGTGCATTCAAGATTTAAAACTGATCAAGAATTTGTATACGTTATGGAGGTTTTTAAAGCTTGTTTCTGCACGTTATAAAAGTGTTGAAAAAAAACAATTCAATTTTCAGAAAGCCATTGTCAATTTTTTCCAATTTTTACACACAGATGCGGCAGCATCGTCCACAGAATATGCGTTCAATTTTGTGCATCTTTATCTGCTATAGTTTATGAGTAATGAGCGAAAAAGCCAAGCTTTCATTACTTTTGAAAAAGAGTGCTGCTCTCAGTTTACGCGTCGCTGTGGGCGTGTCCGTCGACAGATTTGGCCCATTTTCAATACCAACCTGCATAAAAGAATTTGCTGCACTGTTTCTTCTGTCAAATTTGAAGTCGATATCTTCACTTTTGTGGCCGGGATAAAGTTTGCAATCGACATTACGCAGAGGGACAGATAGACAGACGGAGATGCTTAAGTTGATTTACGATTTGATGCTGACCAACAATATATATATTTTGTGGGGTCAGTGATGATGTTTCTTTCTGGGCGTTGCAAACGGATTGACAAAATGAATATACTCCCCATCCTTGCCTATGATAGGTAAAATAATACTTTTATATGTTGTTCACTTTTTATATATCATAATTAAGAGGCACACGTTATACTCGATGGCCACGTGCCACAAATACATCTATTATATCATTGGTGTTGCACGGTTAAGGCAACTTTGCCCCTAAGAGGGGATTTTTTCTTTCTTTTTTAATATTTTCAAGGGGAAAATGCTGCTATATTCTGTTTACACACACACAAATGCTTTTAGGTGTATTTTATTAGACAGCTTCCACTATAAAATCGCGCCCGTCGAGTTCAAAATGTACATAAGTACATGAAACTTAAGGGCCTAAGTGAGGCCTAAGGGCCAAATGATCTTGAGCTATATTTGTGAATCGAATCGCATAAAGTACATCTTAGTCACACTTTGTGTGCCTTGCAAGCAAGGTCCGTACAGACTAATCTTTTCATTATAGTAACATTTTTAGTTCCCCGTCATCGTTTCATGAATTGTTTAAAACATACCAATCCATTCACTTAGGGGATCCTCTACCCTATTCGTGTAACATGGTGACGGTCAGAAAAACAATTAACAAAGGCAAAGGGTTAGGACAATGACCGCAGCCTAATGGTCGTGTGCCCATAAATTTTCGATAAATGTTATGCCTTTACTCGCTATAGTTGACCGCACTTAAGATTTGAACCCATGAACAATGACTCATTGAAAATATGATTGATTAAGTGGTGGGTGGATTGTCCACGAGCTGGGGTAAATAAAAAAAAAACCCCATAATTTATTGCTATAATGCGATTTTTTCGCCTTCTGTTAGGCTATGAATGAAGCAGTTATCGCTTAACCGTTATCTCGAAGACTCTTTCCCCAGTTGCAGGTGTAAATTATGGTAAGCAAAAGATAAGCAAAACCTATCGGGTTTTATCGAGATTGATTCAGTTTCTTGGCTGATGGCGAATTTGCTTTTCCGATCAGTTAGTGTAGAGTGTTTATGTCAAAATTTCCGCTTTCTATCTTCCAAAATAAGTCAATCAAATTGACTAACATTTGCAAGCATATGCATATGGGTGCCTAAGCCGTCTATAGGTCTAGCGTTGAAATGGCCCGAGTCAAGATTAATGGCAGCAAAATATTGCAATTAATTTCTAATGAATGAAGGGTATCAAAACTTCTAAACCAGACCATATACAATTTTTGCTCGGATGTGGTTTTTTTTTCAGGTTTTGCCCATTTTGTTATTGAGTCATGATAAGATAAGAAAAACTCTCATTTCTTGCATTAATCATAACAAAAGACAGAAAGAAAGAAAGAAAGAAAAAAAAAATAAAAATAAAAAATAAATAAATAAATAAATTTGCTAATGTACGAAATAGTTAAAGGTTTCCGATTGCATTCAGTGTGATTTTTCAAGTTAACAACATTTGGTCATAATCGACGCGAAAAATAGTAACTTTTATTTATTGTTGTTGCTTTTTGTGATTTCGTAATAACTGCCAAGAGAGAAAGCGATAGAGAAAGTGAGAAAGTAAAATGTGTATGTGTTTGAAGGAGATCATAAAATGTCCGGCCCGAATAGTGTGCTGGTAAGGCAACTCAATACGCGTATGTCTAACTGCAGTCCATCCATATTTTAAAATTGAATTTTTTTTTATCTTCGTTTACTTTCTAAGCATTTTCACAAAACCTTTTCTTCTTTTATTTAAAACGCAATCAATAGATTGATATATAAATGCCAGCGATTTGATTAATTAATTACATTATCGTATTATTAAATTATATTTAATTTCAAATATACGTGAATGCGATACGATTGTCATTGCTTTGGAAAAATTCTAAAATATTTATATGTAAGCCGTGATCATCAATTAAGAGCATATAGCATGTTATGTTTCAAATTTTCAATCTACAAGAAAGGTCACTTGAATAGGCCATTACGGATAGAAAGAAGTTCGTTGCGAAATGGACTAAAGGGTGTCTGCGATCAATTTCAAAGAGTTATGAAAAGAAGTGGAAGAAAATTCTAAAAAAAAATACTCATCTCATTGTTCGAATTATTAATAATTAAAAGCGAATTCGTTCGTGAATCCAGCGCGCAACAAGCACGCTTTGTCACACACTACAGAAGCCCAGCTTGTCAGAGATAAACAGAAATAATAAATACAATAAACTTACCCTTATATTATTACTATTAAGTAGAAAACCTATCGCGACCTAGAAGATCTATTGTACTCGCCCGTGCCTGTAGACCTCCAGTTTTAAGATTTTTATGACATCTTGTTTGGCAGAATCTGCATGAATCGGTATCAAATGTAGCCATGTTTTTCAGATGGTACCTAAGGGACCCGTGCGGAAGGCGATGACTAAACGTAGGACGCTTCTCCCTAGTTCAAGTGGTTTGTACGCCTTACCGGTACATTTTATGAGCGTTTTTGCCTTCCATTGCTTCCATCGGCAGTCCTTTTTATTCTGTGCGATACCAGCCTATTAATGTGGCTTCTTGGTCTGCCATAGAACGGTTCATGAACGGTACCATGGCCCCTCGGGCTTCCCTGTTGCCTAAACAGTCAACCATTTCGTTGTCCTCAACACAGGAATGGCCAGGCACCCATATTAGATGCACCTCATTATGCCTGCGCAGCTCATTCAGGGTTTGAAGGCACTTCAACACCAACGTGAATGTTATCATTCGCTCTCTTAGGAATTTTAAAGCGGCTTGGCTGCCAGAGTATAAGCAGATGCGCTTCTTAAGCATTCGGATGCACATGCGGTGATTGCGTAGAATTCTGCTTGGCATATGCAGGGATTGCGTCCACCTTTCCCTTATAAGTGTAAACATAACTTTCTCACGTCCGCAGTGCGTCTAAAATTCGTCAATGTTTCCCTACTTACCTTATTACTGAATGCATTATGTACGTGCAGGCAGATAATCACACAACAATTTATTCAAAGTATTTCGACATAAATTGATTATATAATAAACCGGTAAGAAAGTTATATTCGGCTGGTGCCGAATCTCGTATATCGAACACCATTTAAACATTTCGCGCCCTATGCTTTTATTTATTTGCATAAATAAATGAATGGAAGAAGGAATTTCTCTTCCACCTTTTAACTGACTAAAAGATATAGTTAAATAAGATTAATCTATCATATCGTGACGCCCACCATACCTAATTTAGAACTAACGCATTTGCCTTGTCGCCATCTACTCTTCAAGCGCTTTTATTCGATATCCATTAGACGGTACTTATTGTTCAACAAAAGTTTATACACCAAGTCGTGGCGTCCACCATAAATCATTTAGAATCAATATGCTTAGCTTTTCGCCTTCTACTCTTCAAGCCCTGTTATTTGATATCCATATTAATGGTATTTTAACGAAAAAATTAACCCATTACGTTGCGGCGCCAACCGTAAATCATTTATAATTAACACACTTACCTTGCCGTCTTCTGCTCTGCCAAGTCCGCTTATTTCATATCCATATCGCTGGAGAATGTTTACAACGGACGCTACTTAGGCGGACAGACGGACATGTTTAAATCGATTTAGAATTTGATGCTGATCAAGAGTATATATATATATATACTTTGTGGGGCTTCTGATGCTTCCTTTTGGGCGCTGCAAACGTTTTCACAATATGAATATACCCATCATACTTCAGTAATGGGTATAAAAATGCGCCTTTAAATTCAGTGTCCGTGACATAATCCATTTTCACAACCAGCAATTTATCAAAGGCAATTATTGCATTTTTTTATTATATTGTAATTATATCGTAAATTTTAGCTCTATCTCTTGGACGTTCACAGTCGCATTTTACTACTACGTCATCTATATTCTAATGGTATTGAACTACATTGTTGTATATTGTTGCGTTCGACATAATATTTAATAAAAATGTATATCTATTAATGAACGTAGAAAAGTATAACTAAGTGACGATCCGAAAACCTGACCGTACCGTTTCAGTTAGAGAGTTACAATAGCTGAAAAAGCGAAACAATTGCAGATAATGTAAATTATTATTATTATTATTATTATTATTATATATCTAATTTTTGATTGAAAATAAAAATTTCGACAAACTGTTAACAATGATGAGGATTTGCCGATCGGCCTATGAAAACAACTTTCAATTTATAAAAATTTTACAATTTGTGTACATATATATATATATATATATATATATAATTGCGATAATCGATCTTGAAAATTTCCCCGAAAGGGAATATTATCTTTTTGCTTTAATTACTATATATTATTATATTTATTAATTAATTTCTTTTTATTTATTAATTCTCTTTATATTGTAGTTGCTGTGAATGCGCTCTCAAAATAATTCTAAGTACAATTATGTCAGCTTTGCTTATCGTAGTTGTGATTGGATTAATTATATACTTTGCCGTCTACTATAAAAAAGACGAAGTACCTCCGGAGACACACGCCCAAGCAAAAAATCTTATCGATCAATTACCAAAGGCGATGGATAAATTTCTTAAAGCATTACAATAGATAATAAGTGTTAGAAAATTTTTGGCCATTATTTAATTAGAATTATTTTCTTTGATAAAAAAACATTTTTTAAAATTCTTGTAAATAAAAGTTGTAAAGATTTATAAAGTTATTTAAATTTGACAACTACAAGCAATATAGGGGGACACAGCTCATCATTAAATACCGTACAATACTTGTTTTAATTTACAATTATTCATATAACGACTTTTCAAAATAAGGCTTTATATGGGCAGTCAACGAAAAATTAATCCGATCCGAAGCAATTCCAATAGCATGGTTTCTTGGGCCAAACCATGTCGGTGTCGGTATCAAATCTCATCAAAATATCACAAAAATTGCGAGCTGTAAGTTGAATAAAAAGAAAAAAGACGGAAAGACGGACAGACATGCCTAGATCGATGCAAAAAAAATTGATTCTGAATTGATCGATACGGGTCTATCTCAAGTCCGCGCAAACTTAATAGATCCTTGTGCCGTAAGTGCCGTAGCGTATAAAAAGGATCCGTCAAATAACGAACATCTTTGCTCTTCTTATATAAAAATTATTATTATTCGTTACTACTTTAGCTTTTAAAATTGCACGAATCGCAACATAAAATATTAGTATTTCACTTGAAGTCACTCACGTTTTCATATCCTTCAAAAATATTAAACAAAGTCAATGGAATCTAATTCAATGGTACATAAATATTTTAATATTGCAGAGAAGAACCTACAAATTATAAAAGTAGTAATTATTGTTGTATATTAACGTTTGTAATGCAAACATTTCCTAGATTCCATAAGTTGACCGCCCAGTTCCCACAAAATCGACGCCCAGATTTCACAATATGCCTTGCCTGTCTGTTCCTCTGTTCACGTTTGATGTCTGCTCAAGTATCCGGAATTTCTCGACAAATAACGCTTAGTATTCATACCTCGCTATATTAAATCGTTGTCAAAAATTTTAGAACCTCCTCCAATACAACCATTCTTACGAGAAGTAAGTCCTTATATGACTCATAAAGAATCAACTCATAATTTATAATGATTTAAAATATAAACATATTTATAGTTATATGACGGACGTTATAGCACGCATACATTTACAATCGAGCTAACCGCCAATTTTATTAAGTTTCAAACAAAGAACTTCGCGTCTGCATTTACCCATTTTTTACTCAGCTCATTAAATCATATATGCTGTTGCTTTCCTGCTATCGCAGAAGGGGAAGCATGACATACATGCATATATAAGTTATGTCGACTCTATGCGTTATAAATGAAAAGACAAATGTAACCGTAACCTATTGGGCGCAAACGCACTTGCGATATTTCATAGCACTTGATTACTACTATATCTTTCTCTTTCTTAGTTCTTTCTCTGCCGGCAAAATATGTTTGCAGGCAAAACCCAAAGCTGACACATGTCGAAAATATGCACGCATTCGAGAGCATCCAAGAAAATATAACATATTGTATATATATATACGTATGTATCTTTTATGAGCACAAATATAAAACTAACAAATAATTATATAAACGATTGTTTAGTATTATTTTTATTGTTGCATGGTTTATCCATATTGCGACCTAAAAAAAAACTTATCATACCATCTAAGGCTCGTATCGTGCACAGCTTAAGACTTCTTAGTAATCCTGTGACCTTCTTTGGCTCAGAACACCGTACGGCGTTATCAATTGTATTTAAGATACACACACACACACACACACCCTTACACATGCCCACGGACAAATATCGTGTCTTGCCAGCAAAAGAGGAAAAAGGCACACTACACATGCGTTTATATTTGCTATCTGCTCTGGCCTTCAAAAAGGATTTTTAATCTGTGCACTGCGAAACCTTCGAATACCTTGGCTTGTTTTTTCTTATGACAAAAAAGTCAGTGTTTCTTTATTGTCAGTAGGGATAAGTTACATGAATGCTTTTGCGTCATTCAAAGTGCCTTTGTTCTTTAATTGAGAAACATGTCGTCGTGTGAAACAAGTCTAGATACCAGTGATTTATATCACACAGCTTTGGATTCTCTAATGGATTCACTGCACATTAATTCCACCCCTAAATTGGAATTCTTTACACGTTGCAGTACCATAGAAAAAGTCTCAAACTCTCAAAAAAAAGATCAGGAAAAAGCCAAGCACGTACAAATTATACAAATTAACAACGATAAGCAGCAGACACCCAAACGCTCGATACCCTTTGCTAAAAAGCAAAGACTATTCCCAGGAACACCCGTAGCCATACAAATACGTAAACAAATTGGCCAAAATCATCAGCAACGGCAGGTCATTATTGAAAACGTGGAGAAAATAAAAAGTCGCCCAGATCAAATCGTATCAAAGAAGAAGCCTTCTCGTGCTTGTTTGCGTGTGTAATTTACGACACCGTCGTCAGTCCTTTGAATATTATAGATGTAAAACTTATCTAAATCGAGATTCCTTCACAATGATTTAATCTCGTGTGCAATTTGTCACGCGGCGTGTACAATAAAAATGTACAAATAATAAAAAAAAAAATGTTAGGTTGTAACAGATGAATCATCTTAAAGGCGAAGTGCTTTACTAATGACTAGGTTTTACTTTATAATTTTGAATAAAATATATACATAACATGTGCAAAAAATAAAAGAATCCTTGTGCATTTACTAATTCTCCACAGCTCAAACACAATTTTGGTTTGCAACAAACAATTTATTACCATTCCATAGCATGGAAAAATCACATATGATACCAAAAAATATTGTTACAGGGCAAACTGTATGGGTAAAACAGAATGCGACGTGGGAATTAAAGTCGTATCCATTACTTCTTTTCAATGCATTCTCGACTCTAATTTTCATATTTGAAAAACCAATTAAGAGTTATTATGTCGTGCCTTTTCATTCGACATATATGCTTTGCATTGATTAGGACATTATTACGCATTCCTCAAATTCTATGCTTAATAAAAAGTTGGGTAAGATGAGGACAATCATTTTCGTGAGTTTTTCTTTAAAATAAAGTGGAATGTTTCGTTTCCATTGTAACTTAAAACAAAAGAAAAGGTTTATAAAAATAGAAATTTCTTAAAAGGATTGTAATAATTCCATTTTGCAATACAAAACTCTATTTCTCTTCTTTGTATTTTCAATAAAATAATAATAAAAAAAATTATTATTAGGATAATCGTTTAATATATTTTTCTCTAAATTATTTAAGAGAAATAGATGATAATATTTAAAAATGTATAATACTAAAATTATTAACTAGAAATATTAAATAAACATGTGCAACAATAAATAAAAAATTATAATTGTTATATTTATAAATTGCAGGGAGATTTTTATTTATAAATTTTATACTTTCGTTTCACTTATTTTTCGCTTTATCGCATTAAAGAAAATGTAATCGAAACATTTTATCGATTTTTCGTTGCATTCTGACTTGAAAACTTCATACGCTTTACGGTAATCGGTTATCTGCATAATAGATTTTGTTTACAATGTATAACAAATTCAGTATATTTTCATAAAAAACTAAAACGTTATTATCTTAAAAGAAAACTCGAAATAAGTGAATAATGGATAAATTAACGACCATAAGTGCAACATTATTTATGGCAGCCGATGTATTTGCCATTGTTAGCTTGGCAATGCCAGACTGGATAGTAACCGAAGAAGCTGGTGTGTTATGAAGATGCTTGTTATAATTAAAGGCAAATTAACTTTATTAATAATAATATATGTTTAGGTGATATACGACTCGGTCTTATGTGGACTTGCATGACTCTTTATAATCGCCCTCAGGTTTGCTATACTCCAGAGTTACAACCTGAATGGCTGGTAGCTTTGGTTTGTATATTCATCGGTTGTATATGCATTACGACAACTGTCATTTTATTAGCCTCCAGTACATGGGATCGTAATGTAATACCTTATGCTCGTTGGGTAGGATTCACGGCAACAGTTTTATTTTGCCTGGCCGCCGTTGTTTTTCCATTGGGATTTCATATTGAAGAAATTGGCGGTCAGGCCTATCAATTGCCTAATACTTATAAAATTGGCATATCCTATATACTTTTCGTATTGGCTTTGTGGATAACGGTAGTATCAGAACTCTTTGCAGGAAAAGTATGTCTACCACACTTTTAGAATATAAGAAAATTGTAAATATAAGTGTTGACAGTTCGAAATATTTCATTTATGTTCTCAATCCTCAGATACGGTTGTGTTAAGCTTGCTCCTTTTATTTCCATCACTGCCCAATAAAGTGTATATGTCCTTGGTCATTCTTAGCCGATTTTAACATGTCCATCTGTTTGTCTGCCGTTTGTTGTTGAATGGTGGAATGGTCGAAATAATTACCTTATAAAAATGAAGCTATGCATATATTGGGCGATCGCGATATCGTCCAACGTTTATGATTCTAATTCTCTACCTAGTGGATGATGTAGTGATTGACATTGTAAAGCAGATTCCCAATCTTGGCTTCGTAATTAATTCACATTTAAATGGTGATGATCATACCGATCTTATGACTGTACCGTCTCAAGCCAAGTTAAAATTAATTAAATGACTCGTCGTGCCACGTATATCGTATTGAGCCAACTTTTACCGCAAACTTGACTGCGCCCCGAGCACCAAACTTCTTGTTTTTAATAAACTCAAGTACGACAGAATATCACAGACTTTAAGTTCTTATCTTTCATCGTTTCTTAAATGCGATCTTCGTGAAAAAATCCGGTTTGTCCGATTCGAATATACGATGAATTTAATTCTTCTAGACCAGAACTATTTGGGATCACCAAGGCTATTTTTGATCAACGCTGTAAAATTATGGAAAGCGCTACCGTCTGATATCAAGGCTGCAGTTAGTGGGTATAGCTTCAGAGCAGCAATCGGGAAATTTGCGTTATATGCCAATAAACGTGTCTAGTAAAACAAGGGAACCAAATAGCAACTTACTATCTGTTAGAGCTGTTGACCAAAAAATTCGTACATACATCTCCTAGAGTCATTTAATAAAATATTTCGTACTGCATATGCATTGGCTGGAGACAGCAGAAACGTAGAATTAGGTGAGCGTAACTTCCTTAGTTGTTAAGTATAATAATTAATTAAATACATTTTAATGATAGTATCATTAAGCATTCATGTTTACAAGTGGGCGAGTGGATAACGTTTAGCTCTATAATATTCATCGCCGTGTTAATAATTTATTTTAGATTTTAAGATGCAAATATATTTAAACTAATCATTTTTAAACGATATTTAATTTATTGCTTAAATAAAAAGCGTTTTTGAAAGTAGATGCAAATAGGAGTAAGAGGGACATTTAAGTATATCATCCATTCTAACGTTGTTAGCTTTCTGAACAAAATTATTCCATCGTTTTTATACCCTACACCACTTGTGGTATAGAGTATATTAAGTTATGGCAGTCGTATATAACACGTAGAAGTGCCTTTTATTATACGGATCGATTCAGAATCATAATGTGAATTGATCTAAGCCTGTCTGTCCATCTGCCCGTTTGATGTCTGTCCATATAAATTTGTGTTCAAGCTACGGGTCACAATTTTCGATTTCTTTCGATGAAATTTGGTACGGTGGCATGTTTTGGTCCAAGGGCGAACGCTATTGAAAATAGTTTGGATCGGTTCACTTTTTCGACGACACCTTGTATAACGACTTATTTTGAAAAGTTGTTATATAGAAAAAAAATGTAATTTTCAAAATTTCCCGGCAAAAATGGCTAAGTAATAGTATTTTTGTATTCTAAATTGGTGCGAGAACTTTGGATCAGTTGTGTCAATTGTTGGAACCCCTCTCGCATAGCGAAAATTGAAGTTCGTGCGACGAAAAGTTATTATTTTTAGCGCTTCACGATGAAAATTATATCACAATAGCAATATAACATAAGAAAATTAATTGCATCGAATTTGGACCATCTCGGACTATTTTTTGGATACTACCCTAATAAAGATTTTTATGAAATTTTATCCTTTGTAGAGCAGAAAAGTCTAAGTTTTAATATGTGGTGATCGAAATTGACCCCTAATATATAGTAATTTCATACAAGAATTAACTCTATAAAATGTCGACCATCTACGCCTATTTTTGGATTCTGCCCCATGTAAGGGTTGTACTGTACGCAGATGAAAAATATGTCTCTATATAGAAACAAGATATAATTTTTGTGCTCTATAATAAAAATAAGAATTGTGTTAGACCATCTGATGAGGATTATTTAATGATCGACCTTGCTCGATTATAATGTTCTTACTTGGTAAATTTTGGAGACAATTGAATGTAATTTTATTTGCTTTTTTAGCAAAGCAATGTTTTAAAAAATTGAATTCTAATCTACCATTTATAGAGTGCACAGTTTTAAAGGACCGCCGCAAGGTATGCGCACTAAAAGTGGAAGCTTTCATTTATATGTAATATCGTTAAGAAAGGCAAGGTAGTCCCCTTCTAGAATAAGCCTTATGCGATCTCTGCGAATAGGGGAAAAATTAAGCAACAAGGAGAGCATACAATTATGGCTAGAGTAGAGCAGACTGCGATTCATTTGCGGATTTCTAGATCCTGCACAGATAAAAACTGCATAAAAATTACAAAATAACCAAACAACATACTAAATTCGCTCACGACGCACGAATATCCAATATCCAGCCTGTTTCCCTAATTCGATTTTCGCCGTTTATTAATTGAGTTACAATACTATTTATTTATTCACTTTTGGTTTCGCGAAGACTATCCCCTCGAACGATCGCACGATTGATAATGTATAATTTTTTTTTTGATTTATCTGATTCGCTTGCAAAAAGAACTATAAAAACAACTAAGAATATTCGCTGTTTTGTTTTTCTATTTTATTAACTTAATTTTTTCATGAATTATATTAATAACTAAATAATACATTGATTGTCTATAAATGAGTTAATGCAATATATTACTCATCACTCAATAAGTGTCAGGTCTGATAGGTACACCGTAACATTGTTGATAGGTATATGTTAAAGATTCATGACATGTTGATCATTAGTTTAAAAGGTTAAAGGGTTATTTTCATGCGATATGTGACGATGAATGAAACATAGATTCAGCACTACACTCCAGAATCGAATTGGCCAGGGACCGACGAAAGCCGTCGATGATGTGTCGTTTAAAGGTTGGCACTATCCAGAAATCAATATGGGGCTGGCAACAGTGATGCAATATATGTATCAGCCAGGAGAGTTGTTGAGTGATGCGTTAATTTTATGAAGCCATTCGATAAAATAAATACACACAATAATTGTTACTTTGTTTTATATATATTTTGCACAAAATTACAATTATAATTTACATAAAAAAGGTAATAAGTAAGTAAAAGTTACGATACAGCTGACATGATTTATTGAGCTAACTCAAGGAACATAAATAATTTAATTTTTAAACTTTTAGACTTAGTGTATAAGAGGCCTTTTCAATCTAGCTATTTCATCGCATTCATTTAGAACAAACATTGGCAGAAGATTTACATGATTACTCAGTCTAATCAGATACTTGTAAGAACAAGGGAAGTAGCGACTTACGGCTAAAATCTCTCCACTAAAGAAATAAACGCTACCTAAATACATCGGATGGGCCACGGGAGTGTCCAATGTGTTTACCTTCTCTGCCAAAAAAACATTGTTGTTAGTTTAGCTTCTATTCTTGTATCTTTTTATGGCGAATCGACTCCAAGACGTCACTAACGATTTATTTTTCATTTACTTTACAAAGCACTGTAAGTGAATGGATAGTGATAGTTGTATTAAGATTAATTAGTGGTTACCCATCGGAAACTTTGATTTACCTGAACAACTAAAACGGGCATATCTTACTTCAAGTTGCAAAAAGGAAATGTTGGAAGCAATTGAATGTATGTTCCCGAGTCTTCAAGAAGAATTGAACGTAAATAACTACGTGAGCCGCTTTCACACACTCGTATATTTAGAAGAGATGGAGTGCCTTGCCAATATCCGCAAATATAACCGCGAACGAGCGCATTTTACACGCGAGGGAAAGTATTTAAGTCTGGACATAGAACATCTTTCCGAAAGTCGTCCTTCATTGATAATTGGAGACAGAGTTAAAGCCGAAAACCCCTGGGCCGAAGGCGAAAATGCCGAACGGAAATATATAGGAGTGATTCACGAAGTGCTCCGCAATCGAATTCTAATTAGATTCGATTACAACTTTCAACAAAGATATAATTACGTAGATTGTCGTTTAGAATTTTATTTCCCACGTTATGAGTACCATAAACAACACTACGCCATCTCACAAGTGGGTGAAAATTTAGGGAAATAGTTCTTGTTTCCCTCCCAAGCACAAACGCGAGGATATCCGCAATTAGACATAAAATTAAATAATGAGAAAAACATTTTATTAGACAATCGTCAGTATAGATGGTACAATTGCAGACTGAACTTTATGCAGAATAAACCCTTAGCATATATACTACGAGGAGAATTTCGCAACATGCCGTACGTAATTCTTGGACCTCCCGGCACAAGAAAAACGGCAACGCTAGTGGAGACCATTTTGCAAATATTTAGATTGGTACCCGGTGCACGTCTGCTTGTAGGCACACCATCCACTAGTTCTGCTGATGTAATAACGACGCGTTTGATCGAAAACGGCGTGCTCAAAATGGGTGAGCTTATACGTCTAGTATCCCACAAGGAGATCAAAAAAGGACTTATACCAGAGCATTTAATGCCGTATTGCGCAACAGGCAACAAATCCTGGGATACTGGGCTAAGGTACCGCTCCCAAGATGATATAATTGTGACTGAATCCGGACTCAAAGTAAAATGTCAAATGAAGTATTTAAGGCGCCAGCGAATAACGATTGGTACTTGTGACACCCTAGGAAATCTGTTGCAAATGCGTTTCCCACCCAATCGTTTTACGCATATGCTAATTGATGACGCCGGCCAGTGCACAGAACCTGAAATTATGGTTGCTGTCGCTCAAGTATCAAACGAGCGTGGCCAGGTAATCCTTGTTGGAAATCCCAATCGTCAAGCAGCCATTATAAACGAATATGCTCGTCAACGCGGTTTATCGACATCATTTTTGGAGAGAATTCTTTCATTTGCTCCGTACTTACAAAATTTTGATCATTTTCCCTTTGCATGTGATTGTTTTAACAGTCGCCTGGTTTTAAGATTACTCAATGATTACCGGTCGTTGCCGGCCATATTAAATGTTTACGATGAACTGTCGATACCAACGATAACAGAGAACTCTAAAGAAGCTGAAATGCGGAAGTAACTTGACGATTTACTGCCGCAATCACCATATCGACCCAAAATACATGGCATATTCTTCCACGGAATGCGTTCTGAAGATATGCAGGGAGAAGACTCGCCGTCGTGGTATAATCCTTACGAAGCGAAGATGGTAAGTTGTCTTTAGTTTAAAAACACAGTATTTTATAACATTTTTTTTTCCAGATTTCCAAATTTACTCAGTTTGTATTTAATGCAATCAGGTTTTACTCTTTTATAAATATACGTCTTAAGTTGTATCGATGAACAAATGGCTGCTCATTTGCGTCAAGATCTCTTCAAACAGATTATTATTCAAGATATCGAGATCCAGTTCCAGCTGTAGTTATGTGCATGACATATCTTGGCAGGAAACTTCGTCATTTAAGCAAAAGCTCTCAAGCTCAATCCGAACGTGGCACTTCAGTTTGCGAGGAGGCCTTGTCGAATGTGCGCGCGATGCGTTCGATTGCTTGTGAATACCGAGAGATGGAGCTTTTTATAAGCGAAACCAATGAAGCTGCTCGACTGGCTCAAGAGCTAGGCTGTGGTCTTGCAATCTTCCAAAGGTTAACAAATTTCTTTTTATTAGTTTGGTGCTATCAACACTTTTTCGGCATGTCGCATGTCGCTTGATGCATTAATGGCTTTTCTAGTAGCAGCTCAAGGTTCAATTTTATTAAACACAATGATACGCGGAATGACCGCTGGTTCAAGGATTTTTGAGTTAATTTCTTTCTCTTAACGGCAAATATGTAACAAATGCATGCGACATGGATTAGGATTCATCCATAACAGGAAACTGCTTAACGTCGCGATATCTCGACCTCGTTATCTCCTAGTAATCTACGGCAACCCCGACATAATCGTTTTGACTGCTCATTGTCGTAACATTCTGATTTGCCGGAAATTGTCTGACTTGAATTACTTTTGATGATTTATTTTCTTTAAGAACTTCCACATTCTTTCAATTATCAATACTGTTATTATTAACTCTTCGTGCTGTACTAAATTATTTTATTGCCTTTCTATATTTATATTATTATAAAATCCTCTCTTCTCAATGTTGCCTTTGTTTAATGTTATACAATTAAACCATCGTCTAGTTGGAGCTTATAGCAACAAACACTTTTTCAGCCGCTTTGATCAAACTGGCCTTTTCTGTTGCTATATATTAATTTATATAATTTATATTGGATGGGTTGACAGCGAAGATTGCGTTTTAATTCTTTTTTTTTTTTGTTTATATTTGATATGGATTGGACCTTTTAACTTAAATCTAGATCCATCATCCAGTAACTACATAGAAATCCATTGCTGATATTCATAATTTCACGTGATGATGAAATAATGATGCTTTTTTACTAAATTTTTTGATTTTTTGCTTTCTAGGTTATGTTTAACTCATTGGTGATGAAATTGTTTACGTTAAATTGAGTAACGTGCTGTTAACTTAAATTTATATCCATGATCTAGTAACTTTATAGAAATCCATTGATGATATTCAAAATTTCACGTGATGATGAAATATTAATGCTTTTTTACTAAGATTTTTTCTATTTTTTGCTTTCTACGTTGTGTTTGACTCTTTTCTTTATTTCAATTGATTAACACGCTGAATCTGGTTGTGTACACCCCAACGACAGCATGAAGACTGGCGTTTTAATTCTGAAAATTTCATATCGCGAAATTTACGATGCACCAGTTAAACCATTTTTTCGGAGTGTTTACAAAGAAGAGAAAAAGTTATACCGTACAAAACTTAGAGATGGCAAACTGATCTACTTAATGATTTCGATTTATCGATTTATGATAATGAATGGTTACAACAGTTTCGTTACGATGATTTTGTAGTTTATTGGAATTATTATTGACATTACTACATGAAAAAAAAAATTGCTTTGTCTTGTAAATAAGAGTCGTCTAAATGAAGTCAAAAATACGCTACAAAGCAGTTTCTCATGCCCAACTTTATCGATGACATATTCTACATCTGAGAATACTTCAGCGTAGTTAGTTTTATTTTGAGCAGAAACGAAACGGAAATGGAAAAATCCATTCGTTCAAATATTTTAGAAAATGTTACTAATAGATTAATTAGTGTACACGAACTTATATAACATTTAGTGGGTTATTTGGTTTATTATATAATTATTCGTGCGCATTTTTATTGAAGTAGAAAGTGATCCAATCTTAACATATTATTACAAATGAATGTTAAGAGTATTGATTTTTCGTAGCTGTATTTGTAGAGGATTCCTGTTATTTTGCCCCTATCCTCTTATTCTCATCTTATTTCTGCTCATTTGTCTTGCTTCAAGATGAATGAAGGATGTCTAGGATCAATAAAATTTGTGGAGTTGTATATATTCAACTGCAATGAAATGCATTCGTGAAATTTTCTTCGGAGCCGTCAATTCCGATCGGTAAATTCCACCCGTGTATCCATATAATGCTACTAGAAAGATTTGCCGACGGCTTTTGTTAATTTGGTCCGTTAGATAATGTTATTTTACAGAGTTGGTCCGTTAGATAATGTTAAGTTTTTGTTTTGCCGACGGCTTTTGTTAATTTGGTCTGTTAGCTAATGTTAATCCTAATGTTGGTCCGTTATTTTACAGAATTGAATCCCTTTGGTCTGTTAAGTTCGGCATTTAACATAGCTGATTGGCGTTAACATTTAAGTTGTTAAGTTGGGCTTTTAACCATTTATATATATTGTAAGCGACTCTGTGCTTTGCCTCTTTATTCAGGTATGCTTTGTTTAATTTGATAATAAAAATTATGGCGATCTACTTTTAGGCTAACTTGTATTTTTGTATTGTTATTATTATTACAAATTTAGCCAGAGAATAAATTCTTTTCTCTAAAAGCGGTAGCATCAAAGAAAACTCTACCCCACTTGAGATAAAAAATAAATTATACTTTGAAAAACCAAACTAATTTGCGTAAAAAACACATAATTCGTTTTGTATTCTCAAATAAAGTTATAGATACCTATCGATTTAATCTGTAAAGATCTCAATAACAGTTACATATTTAAAGACAGATTGTGAAGGATTGTAAAGGATTAGTTTGAAGAATTATTGAATTAAAGAACTGAAATAAAGAACAAATCGAGCAAACGTGGGACATAATAATTGTTATTGCGGACGGACTTGCCGACCTCTCTCGTTTTGAAATTTACTGACTACTGATTAATGTTAATAAAAAACTTTCCAATAACAAATTTTGCATTCGATTGCCGAAAAAATTCAGTTTACTCAGCAGCTTAAAGAAAAATGGATAAATAAATAAAATTAAAATATTAAAATTGTCGTAAACCATTTGAATACAGGGTGCTTTTCTACTCTCTAACGATGTTCGAAGTCTTGCATGCATTAGTGTATTTCGCTACCGCGGAGGCAGCGTCAGTTCTTTCATCGGGGTGATACGCAGTTATTATATTAAATCATACCCTTTGACTCTAAAATGTAAGGAAAATTTCTACTTCGACTGTAATGTGACAAGAACATCCCTTTGCGATTCCATGAAGCAGTTCACGGACTTAACCTACATCGTTTATAGACTAAGAGTATCTCCGTATTGATGAGAGTGCTTGTCATTTCTACTTGGTTCGATATTAGAAAAGGGCCAGTATTTTTTAATATCTTAGAATATTGATGATAGATTGAAGATTATTGCTGCCACTATTCTCATTAATTTGTTTAAGTGTGGGTTATGAGGCAACCGTATTCGTCCTGATTATGCGAATAATTACTATAATATTGAGTGTTACTCTGCTTGGTATATTTCTGAACTTTCTTTTTAGCAAGTTGGTGGCCAGATTATTTTATTTTGTACACAATTAGTGTATTTTGGAAGGGCAAGATTCTCTTAGATGGATTAAACTACATTTGGCAATAAGTTTTTCCTATAGTTAAAATTTTCCCATTGATGGCGTTATGAAAGGTCTTCTCTGGTTTCTAAAGTAGCTTGAACTTTAACGGCGGCATGATTGCAGCATTTGGTCGTAACTGTTTGGTTGCCTCACTTGCTTATCAGCTTGCTTGCAAAACGTTGATAGTAGGCCTTTTGCGAATCTTTAACGCAGGTTGGTGTTGTTGAGTCGTTTGTCTTCATTTTCAATTCCTAATCTAATATCGGTCATTACAATGCCCTTTGTTATTTATTTCTCCTTGTTTGGTATATCTGGCAATGTATATGTTCATCATTCAAACTCTTTATTAACTTTCTGTTTTATACTCCGCACCACTCGTATTAGTATGAGGTACATTAAGTTTGCGTTTACTCAAGATAAACCAATCTATTATTATACCAATCTGTTCAGAAGCATTTTTTTGAATCGGTCTAAGCCTATCTATTTGTTTGTCTGTTTGACCCGTTCGATATCATCCATTAAAAGGATTGTTTCTAAGAAAATTTGAAAATTACAAAATTTCGGGAAAAAGTCGCTGAGCAATAATGATATTTCGTCGTTTCGAATTGATGTGAAATATTTGGTTGGGATGATTCAATATTTTGAATCCTCAACGGGCAAAACTGAACCGATAGAAATTGGATATTTATATGATAAAATAGTATTATTTTCGATAGTTTATGATGGAATATTCTCATCGAATTTCGACTACTTAAGCCTATCACTCAGATTTCCCATCATATAAGAGTTCTAATGGCCTTTGTATAGTCAAAACGTACAATTTTTTAAAATATATAGTGATGAAAATTAGTGTATAAGAGTAATTTTATATGACAATCAAGAGGACTAACATTGCGCAAGAAACGGTCTAGTTTTTGGATCCGATTACATATAACGGTCTCATGCAAAGTAAGACTTTATAGAGGCGGAAAAATCCATTACGTTTATATGGGTAATGGCCTTTGCCAATAGCTAAAGAAAATTCGATTTACAAAAATGCGCTATGTGTGTTGACGTTTTGGCCACCCTCCTAAACTATTTGATAATAAAACACGTAAAAACATTGCAGTCGAGCAAAACCGACATTGAGATATCCTATGACTCTTCGCCTAATATAATTATTTGTTCAATTTCATGATAAAAATTATACGTGCATAGTTTCGATGCAAACCAATACATAGACAAGGGTACGAAAGGATACGATTTACGTTGTTTGATGCGATATAGAGACATAATTTTTGTGAGAACGTTTACATGGGTTATGGGTTAAATGGTTTCAACGAAATATTAAAATTAGCTTCTTTTTTTTTTTTCATATGACGACTTTTTCAAACGATGATTGAAGATCCCATGTTTGTAGCGTATAACTGAAAATGGAGAAAAAACGTTTGAAATGACTGCAAGGATACCCAAGTCGATAAAGAAATAGCAAACCCATCATCGAAGAAAGGGCGTGCATTCTTTCGATGAAGACGTTTACTACCCTCAGAAAGACTGTTGCAAGCTTCTTATCAAGGATATGTGTACTCAGTATTACATTCTACCAACCTAAGCATGTGCGGCTATCACTTAATATTGTAGAAAATTAATTAATATGCTGACGATCAAATCGCTATATAAATCATTCGTTTTAGAGAAACAGACTTTCAATTTAGATTTGACCGCATATGCGTTTAATTGAAAAGTGATTTCCTCAGATCTGAGTATTAAAGCACTAGCATCTAAGGCATTCGACTTTATTAAAAACTCTACCGCAATTGAGATTTGAGCCCACGACCACTGAGTTGCTAGTCGAGACTCTTGCCTACTCGGCCACTCAGGCGGTTATATATATACATTTCTAAAATTCTCTACTCTGAGCAGAATGACTTTGAATTCCAAAGGTGGCTTCATTGTCACACGTCGAACCGAAGTACGTAGCATTTTTTTAACAGTTTAATTGAATTGAATTTTAGTGCAGATTTTTAAGAAGCATAAAATCCAAATTGATTTCGAACTTTTTTTAAGTCAATATTTCCAAAAAAATCCTACTTCTTTCTTTATATTGTATTGAGCAGCCGTTATTTTTTGGCTTTGCATATCAGATAGAACGTTATTGCGTCGTCATTATGCCCTACACAACTTGTCGTACAGGGTGTATTAAAATTAGTGCGGTCGCATGTAACACGCAGAAGGGCTTAAGATGTATCCAGCTTTTATTATACCAATCAATTCAGAATCATAATCTGAATTAATTTAAGCTTTTCCGTCCGTCTGATGTCTATGTCCATGTTTAAGCAACAGATCGCCATTTTTGAGATATAGCCATAGTGGCGTGGTTTGATCCAAGGACGAACGCTATTGAAAATGGTTCGGATCAGTTGTAATATGGAAAAAAATTTTAACTTTCAAAATTTGTCGGCAAGAGTGGTTAAGTAATAGTATTAAGGAACTCTAAGTTGGAATGAGAACATTGGACCGGCTAGATCAATTTTTGAACCAGTTTCTCACTTTTTAACGAAAACTGAAGTTCAACAAACGATAAAAAGGTATAATTTTCAATGTTTCACGACGACAATTACATGACAAAAAAAAAAAAACGAAATGCATCAAATTAGAACCATCTCGGCCTATTTTTTTGGATTCTAGCCCAATAACGATTTTCATGAAAATTGATCCTTTGTAGAGCAGAAAAGTCTAAGTTTCATGATGTGCTGATCGAAATTGATCCATAATATTATAGTAATTTCATACAAGAATGAACTTCACAAAGTTTATAGATCATTTACGCCTATTTTGAATTGTACTGTACGCACATGAATAATACGCCTTTTTATGGAGAAACAAGATGTGATTTTTGTGTTTCTTAATAAATGTAGGGTATTTAATGGACTTCTGCGCCCGATTACAATGTCCTTATTTGTTTTGTTTTCAAAAAAAATTGTAATGAACATTCTTTGACGTATCGCAACGAATCCACCAATGATGTAGAAAATTTGTTTCAATAAGGTGATGTGTGTTTCGTGAATAGTTTCGGAAAGAATAAAACGAATGAGTTCAACTTTTGTCAAGAACTTTTGACATTATATTTACATTTTTTTTTTTTTTTTTTTTTTTGAGGCTAACTTTTACAGGCATGGCGAAAGTCCCAAAAGATGCGAGCGAAGTAAAGTAAATTTGAGAAAAATGTTGCATCTTTGATGCGATTTCGCGGATCGAATTCAAAAATTCTAATAATGCTAATGAGTTTAAGTCGTGCTGATGTAAATTGAATTGTGAACAGCCTAAAAAAACCAGTCTAAACTTTCGAGGAATGTTCGACTTTTCGTGCGGTGTTTATTTAACTCTTGGAGAATTTGAGAAGCTCATCAATATATATGCATACACTCATACATTTATAGCTTTTTCATTTTTTTTTTTTGTTTTTTTGTTTTTTTTTTTTTTTACTTTTTAAAGTATAGACATGTATGGAGTATATTATTATTACGTAATATCATAAATATTTTGACTATGTTTTTTTTTTTTTTTTAAATTATCTAATAAAAATGTAACCGTTTAATTATAATTTTCCATCAAATGGTGTCTTTACAAAATAAGTGACTAGATTTCCTTTGCCCTTCACATATGTTAAACCTCGGCATTCGCATTCATAGCCGGCTGCAATTAGAACTTTGGCTGTATGCTCTGTTGTCTAGAAAAATTGATGATTATAACAATAAATTTAGAGACGAGCGTTCGTTTCACACGATTTTATTACTTACTTGTAAACGTCCCATTACACCGCATGAATCCATACGTGACGCGACGTTCACTGTATTGCTCCATATATCGTATTGAGGCTTTTGCGCTCCAATTACACCGGCTATTACAGGTCCATGATTTAGGCCAATACGCAGGCGAAACCTTTGAAATGATTCACGATTAATCGAATCCAAAATTGACATCAATGCTATAGCGAACTCCACCAATATAACCACGGTATGTTCTTCGGTGCGTTTTTCGTCCTGGCCATGAAAGCATTAAAATTAATTTCAATGTGTTTGCGTTTCAAGCGAGAGCTTGAGAGTGTTAAAGCTAAAAACTGAAACAATCCCGAAAAGCTGAATTAAATTACAAAAGCCCCACTGTGCATCAACAAATTATAATATATTGTTTTAAGAAAATATAAAATATATTGATTGGAATTTGAAAATAGGAGATGCTCGAGTCAATTTGCCAGGAATGGAAAATCGGATGATTATACAAAATTTGACGGACTAAAAGTTTGGTAAATTACTGATTGCTTCTCACGTGTAAGAGACTACCAATTATGATTATGCGGCGATAATCTACTAGACAGTATGATGCAATGCAAATCCTATCATTTATTGTAAACCAAAATATTCTCATTATATTTTTTTTTTTCACGTCAATATCCCCCCGATTAGTTGGATAGACGAATAAGTAATTTTGATTGTGGCGATGAATTGACTACAGGTAGAAGATGAGATTCGTGGCTATTTGCCGTCTTCGCATTTACAATCAATCTTTTCCTGGTTTGTTTTAGCCTATTTTAGCGATTATTAGACATAAATATTCACGTATGACAGCTCTAAGGAGCCTTAAGGCTTACCACAAAATTACGCGTCAGCTGCATTATTATTATTATTATTATTATTATTATTTTTTTCAATTTAATAAAGAAGAAATAATTAATTGATTTACGCTTTATTTTCATGTTTATTCCACTTCGATTTTAAGAAATTTTGTGTTTATACAATTCATACATACCGTAGCGCCTTCTTCTTTACCGGGTCTTAAACCCGAAGCGCACATGTACGTGCTAGCAATAGTTTTAATTTTTTCAATGCCGCTATATTTCGGTTTTAAAAGCAACTAAACGGGGAAAAAGAATAGAGGGAAACCGTGAAACTGTATTGAAAATTTCGTTTTTAATTCACTCGTTATTTACCTTATCGAAATCGCAAATAATTTCATTTAATAGACGTAGGCATTCCAGGCCTTGTTTATTGACATCGGTCTCATCGTAGAATTCTTTATAATTCGGTATTGAGGCGAACATGACCGCTACGCATGAGTAACTTTCATGATATAATTCAGCAGAGCGTTCTTGATGTAAAAAATGCGTTGCCACATGCGCAGGTAAGATATTCTCTAAGAGAATCTGTTCGTTCAATAATGAAAACACACACGCACACACACACACACACACACACACACACAAAATAAATAGTTGCAGAGCAAATTAGAATTAGAGTAAGCTCACTTTGTTAATGCCTCTCATGGTTTCTACTTCTTCTTGTTCTACTTTCAGTTTCGCTTTCCAGAGGAAATCGGTTCGCGCCACATATTCACCTTGACGATCGAGTGTATGCAATATGGCAATAACCAATAGTAGTAGAAGAAAACCTTTCACTTCCAGCGGTAAACTGAAATTGTTTGAGACAACAACGACGATTAGAAATGTTGTCAACATTTCTCCATGCCCTGCCGTTTACCTATAATCCATATAGAAGAAATTGTATTGTTGATAAAGATCGCTAAAATGTAATGCAATAACTTGAGAAATGAGCGATGAAAGCATTATGAAGAGTTTCAGTATGAAACCGGAACGTAAAAATGCTGAAACTGCTGCCAAACTAATCGCGCAACAGAATAAATAAATGGGAGCTACTTCTAAACGGTGATAGAGCAGGATTGGCATTACTTCAGACACCATATTGTTGTCAAAATGACTATCTGTTGAATAATTGCTAGAATTTAAGTTTAAATCTGTTACCGGGCCAACGCTGAAATCAATCTACGCGAATATGCGCATAAAATAAATGTTTAGTGAACTTTTGCAACATATTTCAAGATGATCACGATCTACTTACCACACTGAATACTGCACTAACGGATACTAAAATATTGACAATAACAAATATAGCTAAACGCAAGTATCGGCTGCTTGCAACTACTTGGCCTGTACCGTTGCGTTCTGTTACCGTACCGTTAACTTCAGGTACTTGCACATTACTTAAATACAAAAACAAAGCCAACGATAAGCAACTTGTCATCAACGAGCCCAGCAACGCTATGCTCCTGCAAAAGACAAAACAAAACTGTTTATTCCATCATCAATTAAATGTTTCTTTAAATGTGTATCGTTGATAACATACACATCGAGCACAATCAATTGCACCGCAGCCATAGAGATGAAGAGTAAAAAAGCACAAATTACATCGTAACGAAAATGCGTATCTGGACGTGCTCGATACATAGCCTCCCTGGGTGTATTGCGATACCACATGGTAAGCGGCCTCAATTCGGTAGGTGGTCCGAAGCAATTAAAATTGAAACATTTACGCTCCGGTGGTAGTAAATTTGATTCAATCATCGCGATGCTCTTGCAAAGGATCCAAGTAAAAATTAACAACAAGAATAAAAAAGAAAAAAAAAACATTCATTTACCGCGCGACTAAATAAATAATTTGAAATTCTATTTCTCTTTCCTCTTACTTACACTATATATATATGCATAAAAAAAAAAAAAAATTAAAAAAAAAAAATGCCCTCTAGTCTACAGTGATAGATAGATAGATAATTATAAAAATTGTAATGAGAATTGCGCCTTCGTTCTCACTTAAACTATCAATGATAGTTTCTTGTTAATCGTAACACTACGACAAGTGTATACTTTTTCGAGAAAGTCGATTATTAATTGAATTTATCTCAAATAATTTTTCTACATCGTTGTTTATATTCTATCACTATCTTTGGTAAAACGACTTAATTTATGGACTCAATCGGAATAATTTCATTTAAAAAATCATGATCTTGTTCATTAATTTCCCGCAACCAATCAGTTACGGTATAGCGACTATATTTGAAAAAGAATTCCGAATTTTCATTTCTTGTATTTTGATAGATCTCTCTACAAAGCACTCTATTTTGAAAAGCTTCTCATATGATATAAATTTTTCATTATCGATATATTTCGGCAAAAAAACCGGGGGGCAAACTGACTGATTTTTGCGTATTAAATGAATTTGGAAAATATAAAAAATAAGATGGAATCATTTTGATTGAACTTTCTGTCATAAAAAGGTTCCTCTAAGAAACAAGTAAGAAAATTATATTCAGCGGGAACTGAATTTCGCATACCCATCACTATGCTTTTCGCATTTCTACTCTTCAAGTTCTTTTATTTGATACTTATATCGCTGGTATTATTACGAAAAAATTAGTCGCGATGTCCAACGTAGTCATTTCAAAATTAACCCATTTTTAGGCAGATAATATATCTTCATTTGAGGAATGTACAAAATAGTGAAAAAAAAAAATAAAACTGTATTACTGGTAGCCTTTGTGTGGGCATGGCCGATCAATTACTTTTTTGGACCGAAAAGGGGAAAGAGTTTCGCAAAGTCAATGTGGAAAATTTTAGCCTTCTAACTTTACCAATATCCAGATAACGACAAAAAAAATCCAAAAATTTTTGTTAAGAAAAACGGAGTTGCGCTCCGGACTTAAGCTCCACTGTGCACTTCTGCTCTAAACAATTTGGCCAATTTTCAATACCAATCTGCGAGCGGGCAATTTCCAATGTGTTTATCAAATTTAGCACAATATCTTTACTTTTTGTGTTCAGGAGAGTGCACACAATACACGCCACACAAATGGACAGACATGCCTTGGATGTTACATACATTATGGTGGAAAAAAAAAAAAAAAACAAAATGAGTATACCCCTAGGACCCCCGCGAACAAGCTGAATGATGTGTTCAAGTGCTGGAAGGTACTTGATGGACCATAAAAATTTAATTTCTTTATTTTCTTCCTTTATTTCTTAACTTTGTTGCGTTATTATCTGTTATAAAAGAATTACAAAAAAAAAAAAAAAAAATGGCCTTATTGGTCAGATCGCGGTAATAAGTAATAAAAATAGAGATTAAAAATTTTTTTTTCTGAAACTTATTGGATTTTCATAAGGAAAACAATTGGTGTTTGCCTTAAGCAACTTAATTCACTCAATTAAGTTATGAGAAAATGCCGCTTCACTGAGACTACATATGTAAGTACAAACGGAGAATATTGTCTTACTTAGAATCGCTATCAAACTTTTTTTCTACCGCTAAGCGAACTGCGATTTATCAAGGCGCATATATTACTTATACGCAACATTATTTAAACGTTGTTTTTGCAAAGAAAAAAAAAAACTTTCTAAAGCTCCTAAGCTGCATGGTGTGTGCCTTAGCTTTAATGAAGATTTTAGATTTGCTTTCATTTATTTTTTGTTTTCATTTAAAATTTTTCCTTTCATGCTGGCTTGTGATACACGCATACGAACTATGTATATATGAAGTCCAGAATGTCGAAGAACTTCTTTCCTGCTGATGCAATAAATTTAATTTAAAAACTCTTTAATGAAATTTAAATTAAGAACAGTTTCTCTCTTCTGATTTGCAAATATAGACATGTGCGTTATTAAGGTCATTAAGGGCAGATAAACTGATATTCAAACTATTGCGGAATATAATCAGAATCAATAATAACAACAATAATAATTAATATCTTAGAAAAGTGATTGGAAGGTAAGTGAAAATACTTACAGCTAAACCAATATTTTTAACTAATTTTGATTCGGCTATGTTAGCGAACGGTCGATCGGCACCCCAACATTCAACGTATTTAGTCATTTTCGATGAGGGACGATTACGGGTAACTGCAAATGAGTGTAAAATATCGAAAATTCTAATCAAAATGAAAATGAATAAAAGAAACAAATAGAAAAGACAAGCAAGAAAATTGTATATAGTTTTGGCTAAATTTTTTTGTACCTACCATCTTTATCTCAAAAAAAAAAAAAAAAAAAAAAAAAAATTAAAATTTTTTCAATCCATAAAATTTGATGTTAAGTGGTTGACGTTTTCCATTTTTGTAGGATCATACAAACTACAAATGTACACTGGAAATATTGTCGTTGTTGTTGTATCTGTTGTTATAGTCTATGAGTAATGAGGAAAACGTCTAATTTTCTTGCTTTTGAAGACACGAGATGATCTCAGCTTATATATTGTACTGAAGGTGAGTCCTGTTCATCGATTTGAATTATTTTTAACATTAAATTGCGTACAGATGAACGTTGAACGTTATACATAGACGGACGGACGTATAAAGTAATATGCATAAATCGATTGAAAAGTTGATACTGATCATGAATATATAGTTATAGTTATATTTTATATAGGATCATTGAAATTGCCTTTGATGTTTTGCAAAATGCACCCATCCCGCATCATCGGGTTTTTTTTTTTTTTTTTTTTTAATTATGTAAGGAAAATATAAAATAAAATCATAATAAATTCATTTAAAGCAACAAAAAAGTTACGTATAAAATTTTATTAAATCAACGAACCTCCATGACCGCGAAAACTTTCACTGTGATGAATAGACATTTTGCGTTCCATAAATGCGCCGGATGAACGCCTTCTGTCAGCAAAAGATATTAAGCCTGAAATCATGAGAATTTGAAAAGTTTTTTTGCCTTTTGTTTTTGTTTTTTGTTTTTTTTTTTTTTACATCAAAAGCAATAATAATGAAATTGTTGTTACATATATATATATATACGTTCGATGTACTGAAATGACACAAACGCTTTTGCTCTTTTCATTGGGTTGAACAATGAGGAGCAGCGGTTCAGATTAAAACAGAATATCTATTACCTTGAACGGACAGTTTCCGTCTATTTTTAGCTTCTGTTGTATCGGTGGCCAATAAATTACTACCACCAAGAATTGTGCTTGCATTTGTTGCCGGGACTTTTTTTACCCCTGTTGTAGTCGTCGTATCAACGTTTGTTACTGTTATTTCCTCCATCGCATTTTCAGTTTCTGTTTTTGTCTTAACATTACAATCATTTTCATTTTCATTTATTATTGTCACAACTAAGGCATTTGTGCCAGTTGATTGTACTTTGCTATCATCGTTCGTATTATGCGAATCCGTAAAAGAATCTTGCTGTTTAATGCTGATGCTCTGGCAGCTGGTGCTGGTGATTCGTTCTGTGTTCGACTCTTGATGGTTTAACGCATTATTGGCGGGTTGTTTCAATTCAACTGTGTCTTCATCTTCTTCCTCTTTTATCGACATTGATGCGGCTGAACTTAGTTGGGTTATCTTTAATTCCGGATTATTAATGGTCGTAGTTGAGATTACCTTTGTAACGAATGTTTCGTCGTTATCGTGACTTTTGAAATTCACCACAGTAAGTGGCAAAAGCGGTTTATCAGATGAATCCACTTCCGTATCGTTATTCTGATGCATATTGTTTTTTGTTAATTTTGGACTCTCTTTATCGGGCGTTGCTGTCATTTCGATAACTTGCGGTACGAAATGACTGATATAGGTGGTTTTCTTAAAACACAAACAAACAAAAAGCAAACAATTTATTCGTAAATTATCATTAGCCATAAATGTTATTCATTGTTTCATCGTACCTTCGGTGGGACGATCAAATATGTTTCAATTTTATGATCTGCCAAATATGAATCACGACTTGCACCATTCCCTTCCTCCACTTCAAATTTATCGTTGAGACATTGCAACGTACGTTTCGTGATATGAACTCGTCTGCAAACAGTCAATTATTTTATGAACATGATTATAATAATAAACGTTTTATATATGTATAGCATATTAGGAATATGCGTTAGTATTAGTACAAATAAAAGATTTATTATTTCTGCTTAGGAAAAACAAATGATAACAACGCTCATTAATTCAGTCTTGTTCTGCAGTTCATAATTGTATCGCAAATTTTGTAAGCAAAATTTTTGTTTTGCAATAGTAAACTGATCAATAAGTGCCGTGACTAAATATAGGAAACAAACTTTTCTTTTTTAAGCAAAATTCGAGGTTGTTTATTAGCATAGCCGCATAGTCCAAGTTTTCTCTAATGTTTCAATGCATTCTTCATCTGTCAAGACCTTTAAAATACGCTTTAATGCCGAGAATTGACTTCGTCGATACATTTTCGTCGAAGCAATTTTCTTTTCCACGAGCATACCTTTAGGGTTATAATCACTGAGGGCATAATCTAGAGAATGCGATCGGTGTGGAAGCTAATCGGGCTTGAATTCGGACACAGTTCATTGTCTTGATCAGCCGTTTCGGCTTTCGAGCCGCTTTTGTTTGTTTTTTTTTTTTTTTTTTTTTGCTTGGGTAATCTCTTCCATCAATGGAATTGTAAGGGGACATATAATATATGCTTTTCATAGGTTTCTACCCGACCACTATTGCATTTTTGCCGGCTTTATGCTGCTTTCACAATGCACTTTCCACTTAGCGAACTGCCGATTCGATTCGGGAGCGTGGTATTGAGCGCAGGTTTAATCCATTGCCACATATCAAATGAGAAATCCTTTTTATACCGCTCCACATAGTGCGCCAAATCACGGACATGTGGAGACTTTTGTTTTACTGCGTGTACGCGGATCATTTGTTGGGGGAACAGCCTTCTTATGCGCGAGCGTTCAACGAACAAAATGGTGAATACGGTTCTTCTTGACATTTTTAAAATGTCGGCTAACTTTTCTAACTTCACTTTCAGAATTTTTTTAAAGTTTTTCCGTACAATCATCTTTTTCTGGCGTGGACTACGTTTAGCATCCATCATCAGTGTTCGCACGATCACGTTTAAAATTGTTAAATCACCATCAAGTTATTATTTTCGACGAGGAATAATTGCCTCAATACTTTTCAAGCCAATGTTAAATAGACATTTCTGTCTGCGTACCTGCCCTTCCAATCTTTTCGTTTGTCTGTCTAACGTGTGAGAGACTCGGCCACAACCGCGTTCACAATGGCTAAAATATTACAACATAATATCTGCTTGGCAGATAATGAACGAAATTCTTGTGCAAGTATTTATTAGAATCATATACTACAACTATGCCCAACAATAGAGACGAAGACTTTAATTATTTCTTTTTTAAATTTATTTATTATTTTAAACCTATTTCGTCACACACAAATAAGGGGCCCGCCAATAGCTTGGCCCGGCAGAAGGAATTCATAGTACACTACATACCGTGATAATCGACGAAAACTCTTAAAATCACTTTGATTTTTAAGTGGATTTGGTGCGGGTTTTTCGGTCTTGGCTCGATATTCGCATGATTGACTGATTGTTTTCATTGTACATTTCGTACATGATTGCCTCACAAATGTGATCGCAGTAAGCTACAATCTGTAACTTGCAAGATGAATCAGCTGTTTTGATGAGAAATGGCGAACGAAAGACGCTTCCCGTGGTTTTCTGAAAACGCGATCCGAAATTGATTCGGACTACTACTAATTGACGTTGCACATAATCGAGGAAAAAACAAATTTTTTTAATTTTAAATTTTTATGCATTAGTGTAAGGTGATGTGTATCAACGGTTCACCGCAAGGCAAGCGCAGAATTCTTTCTCGCTATATTTAGAAATTGAACATAGATTTAACTGCTCGTCCGGTTTTTACAAGTTTTTGAATATTTTGCACAATTTTTATAAAGATGATGTGACCGTATGTGACGATATGAGGTCATTGTAGACTTTCTTGCAAATACAATTTAATTAACTTGAGCGTAAGTGGTCTCGTGCTCTATGCCTGTGTTCTTTTTTCAAATGATGAAATGAAATGATAAAGTGTCAGCCAGTTAGGATATTGTATTCGTTTTCATTTATCTAACAATTTTTAATAAAACTCATAACAATGCAAAGCGAGTTATTATTCAACCAATATTCGATTATTATTTATTATTAATATATTTATTTATGTTTTACGCGGACAAATAACTGGCATATCATACATGAATGCATTTGTTTATTTAAAAAAAAAAAAAAAAAAAAAAAAATATCATAGAAATAAATGAAAAAAGAGAAAATAAAAAATGTTTTGTATTTACCCAGCGACACCACCGCTTTCCATATGATTGGCCAGGGTCACGTCATCACTCCATACATCGAATTGCCATTTGCGTAAACCTAAAACACCACAAAGGACGTTGCCTGTATGAATGCCGATACGCATATCAACGTTTATACTAGTCGCCTCGCGTACATGCCTGCAATATAAGGATAAAACTTTTCATTGACGATTTGAGAGGTAATAATAAATAGTTTCATGTCGACCTTCATTCACCTTTTTTTAGGCAATGATTAGAAATGTTCTTAAGAGAATCTATTAAACATTTGTTTATATGAGTTCAACATCTAATGGCGATAGTGTCCCGCCTAAATGTCATCTAAATCGTGATCATTGCAAAAATTCTATTCGAATTCATTCGGAATCAAAATTTCATTCGCTTACTAAATATAAGATCATAAGTGCTAAGATATTCGTTGTAAGCCGAATTTAAATAAAGCATCTACTGGCACTAATTGAAATAAATAAATAAATAAATAAATAACTATTGTCTATAATATTAAGATAACAATGAAATTGTGAAACAAAGTTTTGGTGCAGGTACTCTAGTTTCCCTATAGTGGAAAAACCGTAAAGTAAAATAGAACGGCTTTAGCTTAAAACAAAAATATATAGATCTGGCAACCTTAAATTCTATCAGAAACCTAGCGTGAAGTTTAAATTTAATGAAATAAAATGTTATTCTGTTATTATTTTCGCTCAAATAAATTTAATCATAATATGTATTGAGATAAAAAAAAATATATATGTATATAATTCATATGTGCGAGAAGGTTAAGAGGGCTTGTATCGTTTGTCCTTTTGTGCATACATTTTCATTTCATTTAAGATTATTTATGACAATTGAATTTATTGATTCATCTAGAAGGTTAAGGGACGCCGTTCAAAGATTGCATTTAAAGAACCTGAGCAGAGAAACAACGCACATTACGTGCATCCAAATGAACCTACGCAATGCGTTTTGATTCTTAGTCGATAAATTAATTTACAATGTCCGACAAACTTACTGGAGACAATATAATCTTTTTACTGATGGCGGTTTAGGCTGCGCTGCCATTCCCTGATGGGAGTCGATCAGTGCTAATAGCCTCCGCGTATCGATCTGGCAAGGCAGACATACTCAGCTCCCGATGTACAATTTCTTGTCCAGTCCTGCCAGTCCTCAGCTCCCGATGTACGATTCCTTGTTCAGTCCTGCCAGTCCTACAGACTGGCCATGATTCTAACGTGCCCCTTACTGTTTGTGGCAGCTCAAGCGACACTTCCAAAGGTAAGGGTCTTCTTGAATATCTGTAGAAATTAAAGCTATTGTTCTAAATCGATAGGTGAAACCCTCTTTTAAAAATAGAATTAACGAGGAGTTGTTAGATGTTAGTCTCGCCAGTAGCCATTTAAGTTCCTCTGTCCCGGGGTGGTATGTATCCCGCGAGTTCTCATTGCCGGACCATGGCGATGCGATATTGCGGATGGTGCAATACCAGTGCCAGACTTACAGAGATCCCAAATGTATAAGATGAGAATTGTTCTGCTTTCTAGGTTTTGCAAACGTCCGCATCTCCCCAACAAGGTGGAGTATATTTGACATGAAGCGCAAATGCTTTGTTCAAACATACAGGAAGCCTAACAAGAAAGCTGGCATTTAAAAACCAAAAAGTCTGAAAGGGTCATGTCTTGGTGGAATCAGAGGTTTCAAAAGCTAAGATCTTAGGCCAGGAAGCTTTTCAACAAAACTAAAAAATCTAGTGATTGGATTAATTATAAGGAAGCTCTCATATAATCCTAAGCTGAATCGGGCGAAGCGCACCGTCTGAAAGCAGGACTATGAAGATATAAATAATCTTCGACAAGCAGCACGGCTCCGAAAAGCACTGGCAAAACCAAGCGGTGATTACAGAGGACGTCCTGAGGAAAATGATCGCCTCTTCTTAGAGATTCGTCTTCCTGAATGTGAGTGGAATGCAAGATCCCCGGACCGCGCATTTTCAAGGTAAATAGATACGTCAAGTTCTAAGGACCGCAGTCTCGTTAGCAAAATTTTTTGCACGAGTGCAATAGGCCGTGTCAACTATCGGGGAAAAGATAAGAAAAACCTTATATAGTACAACAGGGTGTAGAAAGTTTGGTCGAAAGTCGTTAGACTATGGCTATGGGCGAATACGGTAGATTTTTTAAATCGCGGTACGGCATGCCCGCACAATTAATTAATTACCGGCATAAAAAAAATTCAAAGCTAACCTTAAAGATTTAAGTGAAGTTGGGAACCCGTAATCTAAGAAAAATGGAATTTGCCTTGAAGATCTTCGTTGCCTTCCTTTTAGTATCTCCCTAAATAATTTTGTATCTTTCAAAGTGCTTCTTACCAAATGCAATGCTACCTCTAAATTTAATCATACCTTATTAAAGGTGTGGTTGTGTTTGACTGTTTCGACTCAATCAGTCGCCATCCAGTTGCTATGCTAGGTTAAATCATGTTTTGTGTCTTTCTGTCCTCGTTATGCACAATGCGCTTAAAGGCACTATGGTTCACTTAATATCTGAGAAGAAACGGATGCTAATAATAATTAATTACATACGATAAGACAACGTGCAAATAATTTCCAACTCAATATCAATTTGGAAATCAAATTTTACAAAGCGGAAAGACGGTCAAGATTTAAATTAACTAAAGCATTGTAAACGAAGCAAACTGTACTGGAAGACCAATTACCAAGGAAACGTTGAAGACAATAAAAGCTTCAAGTCCCTAAAACCCTGCTGAAAAAGAAGCTAGTATTGAAGAAGGTTATGATAAACTCTCTTTAAATTTAACCAAAAATTCTTAAGACAATTCCATATATAACGGATTTGTTTCAAATATGAAAACGAAAGAAGACTCTAAGAAAATCAAAAAATTTCATTTCGACCACCTAGGAACGCAAATAAGCAATATGTTAACGAACCAAAAAAAAAAAGGTTAACAAAACTGAAAAGTCAGCATTTTTACTAAATGCTTTAAAATAGACGCAGTTATGATATGAACAACATTGACAACAGCAATAGAAGAATTATTCATACGAGATAAAGAATCTGCAATTGTTGAGCGGAGAATATGTGATTGAAAAAGGACTCGAAAAAGTAAGTAGAGAATGAAAGGGGAGTATTTAGCAAATAAAAAGAAAAAGCTTATTGAGGATTTCCACCAGGAGAAAGGAAAACCAATTATCTGATTTCAACGTTAGAAAAGCAAAACTGCAAGGCAAGTAATTAGCGAATGGCAAAAGCAGAAAGTGAAGCGAGCGGCTATAGACAAACAAGGCAAAATTTTAAAACACGAAGATAAATATCAAAATCGTCTAAACGCTAAGACTAACTGCAAAGTGCCACAGGTGAAAAATGAAAAAGCCATTGGACAATATTAAAGAGCTTTGAAAAATAATGAAGAATGCAAAGTTAGGCAAGTCGTTTAAACGAAAAAGATTCGCAAAAAGTCGAATCTGTGGAAAAGCTGTCGGAATAGGCATACAGTTACACTTTCGACGAAGGCCAATAATTACGAGGACATATACAAATGTAAACTAAGAAGACTACGAAATGCAGCTTAACTACGACCGATCTGAAGTTGAAAAGGTGAACATTAGAAAAGTTACAAAGTGAATTGCTATTGCAATTGAAATCATTTAAAAATAGTATAAGTCATTTGCCGCTAATGGCAATGCACGAAGAGTAGAAATTATGCGGCGGACGTACCGTGTAATTTGTAAAAGAAGAAATAGGCCTACATTTCATATTTATAAATTTTTTTATTGAAAACTTGGATAGACTTCTTCACACGTACGCATATTTTTATACCCATCACCGAAGGATGAGAGGTATATGCGTTTTGAGAAAATGTTTGCAACGTCCCAAAGGAAGCAGCACCGACCCCACAAAGTATATATATTTTTGATCGGTATTAAATTCTAAATCTATTTAAGCATGTCCGACTATCCGTCTATCCTTCCTTTGTAAACATTCCGCAAAAGTGAAGCCATCGATTTCAAATTTAGCTCAAATATTGGAAGTTCTTGCACATAGAATGGAATTGAAATTGAGCTAAATCGGTCGAAGAACATACCCACAGCATCACATATTCTGATAATACCTTTGTGTTTTAAAGGGAATGAAAAATTGATATTTTGCTCATTACGCATAAAGTATAGCAAATAAATATAAAAAAATTTGAACGCATATTCTATGGACGATACTCTAGCATTTATGGAAAAACTTGACCACGCCTACCCAATATTATAGTGTGTCAAAATTTAATTACTTTTTCCAAACCTTTATAACGCGCAGCAATAAGCTTCAAAAACCCTCTAAAGTATATAAATTCTTGGCCAGTTTCAAATTTGAAATGCACCTAAAGATGTCCGCCTATTCGTCTGTCCATCTGTTTATTTGCGTAACTTTGCAGTATTTATGGTAAGCATTCTCCCGTTAGCGAAAGTGAACATATCGAAGATACAAATTTGCAAAAGAGTTTGGCATTGACCTAAACTTTTCAAAGTACACGCCTACAACACCAACATGCCTATACGATAAAAACTTTTACTTTGAAAATGAAAAAAAAAAAACCAACTGCACTAACATCATATTATAGAGCAGGAGAATTTGGTTCTTTTACATCTTTCGCCGTTCTTTAGATGGATACAAAAGATTCGGTTCCGACCGAATTTAATTTTCCTAGTTGTTCCTCTTAAAATATTCTTTAATAAATTATTCGATATGCTTACATAGGCAATATATGCACACATGGTCCCGGGAAGAGTTTTGCTCTCGAAAAAGAGATTCTTTTAGATTGAATATACATATAATTAACTTGATTACGTCCTTTTGCAGCATTATCTATAACAAACCAATCGTAAATCGGTATAGGCATTCGCAATCTTTATATTCTGTATAGCGTGTAACTTTGTTTGTTCGTATCTACAACTCGTGCCCTAAGGCATCCTCGTTAATTGTGTTCTTCAGCCACGTTTTGCTTAGAGTGTAACTTTTTCACTTTACACATTTGGTTCCTCAAACTCAAGTTGTTTGCTATCTTTTCGAATAGTTTTTATATTCCATAAGGGAATATTATGATTCGTTGTACACTACACTTTAGAGATATTTTTATTTTTTTGAATTTTTAGCATCGTATTGAGTTTCTATGCAGAATTCCACCTCGTATATGCGACATATTACTCGTTACGTTGACGTCTAACGTTTCTGTTAATTATATTATTGAATGCTCTACGATTTTTACAATGGAACATGGAAGTTGAACGTGAAGAGATGATCGTCATTATGAATTTCACACAAAAGTTGGCCAAGTATGTGAAAAGAATACGCATACAAATGATATAAAGCCTTCAACGAAACGACGAACTTAGTTTGATGGATGATTACTATGAAATAAATTTAATTTTATGTTTTGTTTTAAATTTTATGTAGAGACTGCAACAATGGGAAGTGCGTCATAGCCAATCAGTCCAACTTAAATAGTGTATATATTAAGTTTCGACTTTTTTGCTTTGAAAATTCCAACAACAGTCGAATGGGGAGGAATAAGCCGAGTTAAACCTAAGTGTGCTTGAGAGTACATATCGTAAATATATAACTAACTTAAATGAATATTTCTTAATCCTGCAAATGACTCTGCAAAACTACTCGGCAAAATCGGAGTCTCTCACTACGGCTAATATATTTCGTTATTTCAACATTCAAACAGACCATGCAGTATCAAGCTAATGTATACAATTTACATGGCGAGAGACGAGCTTATATGAAAGCAAGCAAAAGTATACAAATGGAGTCGGTCAAATAGGGAGAACTTTCACGACGCCAGGACTCGCTGATGTCTTTTAACGCATTGAAGAATTGACGGGCTATCCATCTTATTTGGTGATGTCATTGCAGATGAATCGAGAACTTTCGATATTCCAAATAAAAGAACATAAAAGGATGCTTATTAGGCAGAACAATCAAAGACTTAGGCTTTTATAAGGCGGTGCAAAAAGCACTTCATTTCAGCCGATATCCGCACAATTTACACCGTCAAAAGCATGTGCGAAAGGGAGTCTCTATATTTTAGGGTTAATTTCGCTGGCTTTCGACTACCTTTAGCGAAAGGCTCCGACGTGAGCGTGTCCAAAATTCTCGATGTTATTAGGTATCAGCGTAATGTGAAATCGGCCACCCTTGGAACAGCCTACTTGCACTGGTCTTTCCTATAATACTACTCATTTTTTTCCTTTTCCCTTACCTACAATCCTTCCTGACAGCTATTGTGTCCACAAATACTGGGTATATTCCCTGAGTGGCCGGTCAAAAAAAAAAACAAAAAAAAAATGGGAAGAAAGTGTTTAAAAATTTTTGCTTTATATATATATATATATATATGTATATTTATAAACAATTTTAAACTCTTTAGAAAATAAATGAACACATTTTCATAATGATTGGACTTTTGACTTTGCAATTTCGAAGCAAACTACATCCTACTTACTACCACGATTACGGATTACATATCCGCATTTGCTCATTAGAAACGAGCTACGTACGTAAGTACACAAAACTCTTCTATATAGTCTGTTCAATTGAATTCGCTAAATTCTCTCATATATCTGAAGGTATTGCTCCTATCGATTCTTTTATGCCATCTTGTCTCGTTTGGCTTAACATTTTGTAAACAATTTATCGTTGTCGAACGAAAAACAAACGAATAGGTGTTTGTGTGTGTGTGTGTATGTGTTTGCATGTTGATGTGATAGCTTTACTCACCTGATGGCATCAATCATTTGTAAGCCCATATTGACACAATTTGTAGCATGTTGTGGTCGAGATACCGGTAATCCTGATACGCAATAATAACAATCGCCCAAAATCTTTATACGTAAGCATTGATTTTCCTTTAAATTTTTGAATAACAAAAAAAAAAAAAAAAAAAACAAAAAACAAAAAAAGAATAGAAATATAATAGAGAAATGCAAATAAAGTTTAAAAGCAAAACCGATTAAACATATTTCGATCAGGAATATATTGCAAAAAAATTGTGCTCCTCCTAATGTATCTTAAACAACTGCAGAGTCTTTTTTTGTTTTTGATTATAATACTTGGAGAATTGGAAAAGGGAAATTTCACAAAACGCTATATGTTTATATTCATAGTCCATAGTCTTAAGTCAATTCAAATTCAGTCAAATTGTGTGTAAGTGATTTCTTTTAATGTACATTGAATGCAAGCATTTTTCGTACTATCTTGCCGTCGAGTAACATCTACAGGCTTGCTGTTATTTGTCCCAGAGTTATGTTACGGTAGCTCGAAGCAATAAATATTTTGGCGGATGCCGGCCACCCCAACAAACAATGACAGCAAATTAATCAGTCATGGCGATCAAGTTATGTTCCACATCTCTGACGTATATTATCAGCACAAATTAATATTATTGAGCCAAGTAATGAAGGAAAAAGTCAACCATTCGATAAAATGCACCTCAGTACAAAAGTGCTCAGCCAGACATAGAAAACCCTGCCAAGGAAGTGTCTGATGCAACAAACTGTGCTATTCTAACTGCGGTATCTAAAAGATATTACTTTTTCTGATTGCCACTTGTTTCAGGAAGCAGACCTACACCTTAAACTATATGCGTATCCTTTGACCGATTAAGCCGATTTTTTGAATTTCGAGCTACACGTAGGAACTTACAATGTCTTTTTCTGACCAGGAAAACTATTACTTAGAAGTTCCAAAAATGAACAAATCGACGTACGTTGAGAAGATCACGTTATCAAAAATATATGCGTTATTGAAGGGATCGCTGAAGCGTAGTGCTGGGTGTTGCAAACATTGTTGCCAAATGAATATATCCCTACTCTTCGACTTTCTCAAAATAGGGCTTCAGAAGTCAAATGCTAAGTGTAAAAATAGCTCGAGGTATTTCATTTCCAATAGCGCCCATCCTTGGGCCAAAGTAGATTATTATATCAAATTTCATCAAAATCTTTCGAAAATTCCAGCACAGAAGTACATGGATAGATATAAGACTGGCGATCAACTACCGGAACAGATTTAGAATTTCTGAACTCTCTGATAAAAGATGACTTCATCTGAAGTTTTTCGGAGCTCTGCATACGCCATCTTGACGATCTTTTATTAATTATCATAAGCAGCATAGGGTATGAAAAGTGTTTAGGATAAATGTATTGTGCACTGAAATAACAGCTTAGAGGAGAGGATTGTGTATTAGTGGGCCACCATACCGGATAGAATTGTCGAGTTGTAAAGCGTTCTAGGCCTATTAAGGACAGACTTAATCGAATAGTCGAAAAGATAGAGTCCTTAAAATATTTCACTTTCGATCACATTAGTTGATAACTGCGAGATATTCGAGAAACGCTTACATTGAATTTAAAATCAAGTAATAATTCCATTATGATTAAATCTTTTCAAAATGACTCAATTAAATATTTCATATAAGTATTCTCACGAATTATCGTTAATATTATAATTTAAATGTATATTCTCTAATGATTTGTTGCCTTACAAAAAAAAGAAAAAGAAGAAAATTCGACAAAAAAAAAATAACTTGTGCGCGTTGAATGTGTGAAGTTGTTTCGCTTTAGTGATTACCAAATTACATCCTAATCATTATTTCCGGTGATTACACTAACTATCATTTTGTTGAAGTCGACATTTTCGATTAGTACGATATATAGGATATACGATATGCGAGCAACAATTAATCGCACATTGAAAGAAACATAATAAGTATTGTGTAAATAGTACTAACCTGAGCTATTTGATCGAAACGACCGAATAAATCATTCAATGTTTTCACTAAATCACTAGCCGTCAATTGTTCCGAGAGTGGTGTAAAATTCACAATGTCTGCGTACAAGATCGACACATTGTTGTGACGCTGAACATGCAATTCATGAAAACGGGTAGCAGAGGTGGTTGACTGACCACCTGCTCTTTGACAAGCATCGGCCATTTTCAGCATAATACTCCGTTTCACCTAAAAGAATAATGAAAAGAACCAAAAAAAAATAAAAAAATAATTATTGCCAATATGTTAGTTTTGATCGTACTGGACATCAGTTATCCAGTGCGGGCGTGTTGTGTTTTGTGCTTTGTTATGCGTAATTATGCTAACCTCGGCCGCTATATAAGCAGGTATAACGCTTAATAGCAACTGTTCTTGTTGTTCACGTTCGCATTCCAGCTTGACACGTTGCTCGATGCCAGTACGGGTACCGTCCACAGTGCGATTATGCGCTGCATCCGACATGATACGATAATAAAGACCAGAAATGGATGCACTAGCCAGCATTACAAGTTCTCCAAAGACCTACATACAAAAAAGATACGAAAAAAGCAGAAGCGAGAATAATTCATGTATTTATTCTCCTTAAAGACAATTCAAGCTTTTATCCAATAATATCTTTAGTAGTCCTTACAAGGTCACATTTCCCAAATATCGTTATTTATTTACTTATTTTTGTTCGTTTTTTTGTTTTGTTTTTATTCATATTCATACACGGGAACATTTGAAGCGAATTCCATAGATTGGACTGAAACCCGATAATTATATATATCTTAACGAGGTCTTGTAAATAATTTGAAAGCAAAAAATGTGCTGGCAACGTGTATTGGATGAGATTGTATAACGCATGTAAAATATTCAATGGAAATACGGCAACTACTGTGAAAAAATGTGACATTCAAGAGAATTTTATTATCGTTGCTAAAAGCGATCGAATGGAAAGAACTATACGAGAATCTAAAATTTTAAAATCTAGCATTCAAATTTTTGGGAGAAAAGCAGTCAATTGTAGATCTAGATTGGCCTAAATTATAAACGTATTCAGCAATTGCAACTAAGTGATAGTCATGACTGTAGTAAACATAATTAACGTAACTGTACTCATAATTAACTTCTTACACTCCTAGACATGATGATTGTATTTTCTTTAAATACACCTCATTGTCACATTCAACTGGAATTTACTTTTCATATTTTGTCAATTAGCACAATACGAAGGTACACACAATTTGTTAACGCTAAAATTGACACAAAAAATTTTAAATAGTTTTACAACCTTGAAACTCGTTTGCAGTTAACACATGCCATTCGCACATGCATCCATTCATTCGCTTGCCTTTCGAAAGGAAAACTTTGCACAAAAAACCGCCACTAGCAAACCCCGTTGATGGCATGACATTTTAACATTGACCTAGAGTTAGTTTAATAGCAAATAATGTAAACGCGTGAATGTGTGGAATACATTTATTTATATTTGTATTTATTCTAAAACGCACCCACCATACGCGCTTATGTTTAGCATGACTAACTCTAGCCTTCGAAACACTTGTTGAAATTTTATGGTATTTTCACAATATTATTCAACATTCGTTAAACTCATCACCTGCGGCTAGATTAACTCGAACATTCCACGGCAGTATTGCGTGAACATCACAAAACTTAGTTTTTGATAAGTGTGGCATTATTAATCATGGCTAGTCTGGGTATGAAAGTTATGCTAACCTTATATTCCCATTAATCCGAATAGAACAAGAAAATTCGATTTCGACAATATTTCCTTTTATCCATCATCTGCTTGCGATTTTTCGTTTATTTGATATGAAATGCATGCATATCCTTTCATAACAGTAAAGCAGCGCTGTTCACCGCTCTGCGCGCACTTTTGGTATAACGTAATAAAGTTGAAGCATAACGCAGTTACGTTTAACATTTAAGCCTAATTGATAAGCCATTACAAAAGCCCTCCCACTACTGGCGAATATCAGAGATTTGCTGCGGATTGAATCGCTTTATGTCAAAATTTGGATTTAATGCAACGATGGAGGATAACGCTGTAAGTTCTGTTCATCTTATGACAAATCTTTCATGCTCATCATCTCAATACATTAGAATTAGAATTTATTCTATTATTAAATGTGGGTGTGTCAGTTGGCGTTGGAAAAGGTTCTCATTGTATTTGTTTTAGATCGATATCTCTCTCTCTCTCTCTCTCTCTCTCTCTCACACACACTCTCTATCTCCCTCACTGACTCTTAGATGCTTGAAACTTGCGTTCTTTTCTCGACATGTTTGTACACGTGATCTTGTAACCATTCTTACTGCACTGTGCTAGTGTTAAGATCTACTACCAGTTAAGATCATGCTCTGCAAATAATTACAAGATTAAGTTTTTTATCTTGCGTCGCACCCATTTCAGCAGTTGATCATTACCAATTTTTACCTTCATGCTTCATGTTCTCGCAACAGGCTTTCTAAATCCATCCTGAAGTGGATGAAAAGCATGTCTCGGTCGTGACAATAAAAAGACAGACAGACAGACAGACAGATGAATAAATAAACCTGACAGCATTTCAGCTGCGTTATCCAGCCTGATCTAGAGTGCTAAGCATTCGGTACGTGTTTTGATAACGTATTTAATTCATCTTCTATTGCATGCAATAATATTTAATTTAAAAGTGCAGCTATTCTCCCAAAAGTGGATTACCCATAACAAATCAAATTTCCGTTTGCTTTATTAATGACTTCTTTAAAGATAAACATGTTTAAGATTTATAGTCGGGTAAGAGCAGCTATATATATATATATATATATATCCTACATGACTTATCTCGGTCATAAAATGTTTTATATAATGTAATATAATATAATATACTATAACATGGTTTAGTAAATACTTACATATACGTAATTTTAAGTTTTCGCAAAATAAAGTTTTACTCTTAATGGCGGCTCCCTTAAGGCGAGAATAGCGCCTTAGAGAAAATAGTAAAGTTATTTATCAACTTACTGATCTAAAACAATTTTCATCATAAATTAATTACTATAAATTAAACTTAATATTATTCTTCAATAAATCCCCCATTCCTGTTCCATTCAAAATTTTCCATTGTCACTTGCCAGTATGCCAGAATACCATGTTTCATTTAAAGATCTTTTAAAAATGTGGCATTATATGGAAAGTGTTGGTACAATGATCTGATACCAAAATTTGCGAGCACGCTTCGGGCGAACAGATAGCGAATAAATTTTATATACCCGCTATCATAATGAGCCTAAATTATAATGACTCTATAATATGTATGTCACATTCGAAATGTTCGATTTTGATTGTTTAGAAATCTTCTTCTTTATTCGATTCCTTTGATTAGTTACAAGTAAAAAATAAATTGATTTGGTATGGTAAACTTACCACAGGCAAATTTGGCGTATATTCGGGACTCATACCAATCCGATAAACAATGTGTATGGCTGTCATGAATACGGCTAATACTACCGACACTGGCCACGATATAGGCAGCATTGTGTGAATACCCTGTTGAGGAAGAACAAAAAAAAAAAAAAAAAAAAAAGAAAGAAAAACTAAACTTATATACCATAGGTTAAAGATATACGTATATGCATGTTTGTAGGAGCAGAAATATAAGTTCATGCCTCCGTACATATGATGTATAGGTGAGTATCCGTTGTTGGAAATTTAAATATTAATTAGGTTAACATTTAAGCCTTTAGTTGAATACACAAAGGATGTCAGTATTCGTTTACAGTCGTTTTGTATTAAACGTATGTTATTTCAATTAAACACATAAACTACACATATGTGAATTTGTGAAAAAGCACATAGCGTGTGGTTGGGTCAGTGTCAGTGTCAGTGTCAGTGACAGTGTCTAGAGCATTTCATCAACATTAAATTAAATCTTTTTATTCCAATTTCCGGAATAGATCGAGTAGATCCCTTAAAGACCATCATCAACTGGTGTTTCGTTGCATTCTTGAAACGCATTCTTAAGCCGATAGTCAGTATTCGAACTACTGTATAGTATATTACGATGCAGAAATTTTCTGACGATTACAGTCGAAAAGTCTTCAGAAACTTGGATAGTTTTTATCATCGTGCAAGAGGAAATCATTAAATCATATTAAAAAAAGGAAAATTTGGATCACAGTGTCATCATAATTATTAGACGACAATAAATCTTAATTGATGGACTATGCTGGTAGTACTAACAAAAACAAAAGTTAAAATATATTACGTTTCACATGAAATACCCTCTAAGCATTATTTATTGGATATATATATATATATATATATATATGTTTGAAGGATTTCAGCAAGAGTATAACACTTCATATTAAATCAGTATAACACTTCATATAACAACAAAGAACTTTTGTTTCGAGCAAGTACAATGATAATGATATATAGAAGCAAATATCTGAATGAAATTTTTTCTCAAATCCCTTGTTATTCAATATAATTTAGTCTTTAAAATGTAAGCAGAAGAAGCAAAGAATAGCTTTTTCGTTTTATTTAATTTATTCAACAACAGTTGCAATTATTTTGCTAACTATTCTTACCAAGAAAATGGCGTATAGCGGTAATGGCGCTAATTCCTCACTTGTAACTGCTGCTATCGTACCCAATGAGAATGTGGTCGCTACTGCAAAGGAGAGAGCAGCAACTGGTGAATTCAATACGGCCGGGAATTGCAAGGCAGTTAATATGCCAGCCGATATCAAGGCAGCCAAAGCCAGTAATAGCGTTTGCAATAATTGCTGTAATCGAGCATACGATACACACACATATTATAATTTATTATCGAGTGGCGTAAAATGATCGTAAAGAAATGAATAAAAGGAAAACCTTCGAACAAATGGTAGGTAGATGCAAATGCGAATATATATATATATATATATATATATATATATATATATATGTATATGTATATATATATGCATATATAATGCACTTTTTAAAGTAAAACAAATGGGTTCAGATATGAACACCCACTCGTGCGGCTAACAACTATACTTTCGTTTTAATTGCATTTAAATTGAATTTTCACCTCCGAATATTATTATTATTATTATTATTATTATTAATATTGTTATTATTATTGTAAGGCTAGAGCCTTAAAGCACTAGCAGCTGATGGCATCGACTTTATTGAAAGCTCTACCGTATTTCTAAATAAACTAATTTCTTAAACGCTTTAAATTAAATTTTAAAAGCTATTAACATGTTTTTATAGTAATGAGTTAGCGAACATTATGACTTTGTCGCTCCGTCCGTAACATATATCTATCGAAGGTTGGAAAAATTCGTTTATAATTACAAATTTGAGATAGATATGTCTCGGTGTGCAAGCGCTCTGTCTGTCTGTCTGCCGCTGGAATTTTTCAATAATATTTGAATAATAATAATAATAATAAGACATTGCCTTACAACCTTATTTGATGCCGAGATGTCGAAATTAGATATTATCGACTACGACAATAATCTTTTACGAACTTCTATAATAATTTAAATCATAGATATCTACATCTATCTATATATATTTATATCAAAATCAAATATTTACCATTAATACATGTGTCATAATATTTGTGAATTGATTTACTAATACAACTGCAATTAAGATTAATTATATGTTTCATATTTTATATACTTTTCCGTAAGAGATATGTGTGTGTGTGCTTAGTGTGTGTTTAGTTCGTCCATGTTATTATTAATCAGTGTAACATTCCCAATTTAATTATGTCCATCTGTCTGTCTTCTCGTTCATCTTCGTGGCTGGTCGCTAGTATTGGAACGCTCATTAAAAGAGAACAGAGTGGAACTTGGTTAAAACAATTTTAATTGCTATAGCGAGAAATCAAGTTTGCAAATGATTGGGTACCACTCACAATCACTTTGCAAATCCGCAGTAAGCAAAAGAATGTAATTTACAATTAACGACAGATATTGGCGTAAAATTCCATTAAAAAATCGTACAAAGCAGACATGCAAGCCGGGATATGCCGGCAAACATTCGAAATCACCAAACACGGAGCCTATAAGCTGCTTGGCTGATTAAGTCATCGAGACAAGTGCAGACGCTAAACACCTAGAGATTCAATTGAAGAGCGAAATTCTGATACTTCTGGTTAACGGCACATTTGACCTTCAACTGCATGGTTGTACGGTTGAAAGCATTTCCATTAAAACTTAAATTAAACTGCATGATCACACTTAAGAGTCGGCTTAAAAGAGGTTTCTTTTCGACAAAAAAAAAAAATAATGCTTCAGTTTTTTTAACGTAAAACGTAAAAAAAAAAGAAAAAGAAAAATAAAAAAATAAAACGAAAAAGAAGAGAAAAGCTTTTAAGACTTACCTGTTGAAAAATGATACCAATTAAAATGGAGACTACACATGCTACCAGCGATATTAATAGACCTGAACGAAACAATGACTTACGTAAACGTTGACGATACCGTGTGTATAGGTCGTCCAAGTGTATATCCTCAGCTGTAAACAAAATGAAAATATCACAAGTGAAAATAAGTAAGTGCAAGTAAGTGCATTGAAAACTCTTCCTTTTGGGAAAGAAGAAGAAGACGAAGAAGAAGACGAAGAAGAAGAAGAAAATTGAAATAGAACAAAAAGAACAAAAATTGAAAAACAAAAAGCAAACATCCAATCATTTGCATTACATATACGTGTATACATGTATATGCGTATATATCTATTTAGAATAAAGAGAAAGACGAAGAGAATGAAATGAATTGAAATATCACACGAATCTAATTCGATTCACAAATTGGAACTTGGCAACAGTAATGTGTAAATGGCTGCACTTGATTAGAAGCTTTACTCTCATTTCAAACGTTTTCTTTTTGATTGCTTGTCGAAGTGCATATACGCGCACCCGCCCACATTACCACTTTGATAAGTTGTTGTACAAAATCCAATAGTGACGACTTGACGTATAGGTTACCCATTAACGCTGTGCCAACTCTTCTCTCAACTAACATCAAAGTAAGTAAGTTCTTCAACAGATTGCACTTTACACTTTACAATCGTATGTAGGCAATAATCGTTAATGGCAAGTTCTAATACGTAGGGTAATACCCTTCTAATGAAATCATAGTACAATAAATATGTGAAAAAAATTGCAATTAACTCGTATGAAATATTAAGAAGAATATGAGAGCAGCTTTCTGTAATTGCGTACTATTGAAGACATATATAGATAGATAGATCGATAGATCGATAGATAGATAGATCGATAGATAGATAGATAGAGAGAGAGAGAGAAAGAGAGAAAGAGAGAGAGAGAGAGAGAGAGAAATTCAATTTTAAAACAGCCGCGCACAGTGAGCTTATTTTTAATCTAACACATTATTGCTAGGTCGTCCAAAACGCCTGACAAATCTAATTCACTTTTCAGGCGTTTATAAAAAATTCAATATTACCATACACTTCAGTTCGAAACTATGAAATGTTGACACTATTTTTAAAGGAAAAGTCTTTTTCCCTTCACCATATAATTCCATATTTCATTCTATTTCAACTTTTACTATTATATTGATATCACAGGACGTCACGAACACATATACAATTAGAAATAATAATTCAATGTATAATAAGATGAATATATATATAAGAGAAAAGATTAGGACTTTTGTGCCACTTGCACGCGCAACATTCAGTTCCAATGAATTTACATAGTTTTATATATATATTTCTCTGAACAAAATGTCGAGGTTGTAGACCAAAAAACCGATCAAAGTAAATCGTTCCAGCTATTCAAATCTAATGCTCATACGCATACTTATACACATTGACATTTACAAGCAACTAAAATTATAGCCTGCTAGTGAACAAAATACGCGAAATGTATCCAAGATACAGTTGCGAACACCCGCATAAAAATAATCTTTCCAGAACTTGTTACCCAATTCACACTAAAGCTTCAATGCATCGCCTAAAGCTTCGTATATATGTAAATTACTATAGTAAAGGCTTTGCTTGAAATTCTCTTTCGTTACCTGAAAATGCGTAAGTAAATGATTTTATATATTTGTTAACAACATATTGTTACGAGTAGATTTTCCTAAAACTTTCGCGTATCAAAAAGAAAATTTTTGCGAGTAGCTTCTTGTAGGGTTTTTCGTATGCTTGTGACACGCCGTTGTACAGTAAACGATAATTGAAATGTTCCTGACATTTATTGATATGAATTGCGTAGCGTAGACGGAACGTACATTTAATTTCGGAAGCCCGCACAGAATGAAGTACGTTTTATAAACCGCAAAAGGCAACCAAAGCCTGAATAGGTGACGACGACGGTGAGTTAATTTACACAAATATTCGTAAGATTTGCGATCACGACGTGAAAATTGTAAGTGTAAACTTTCGAGTTCCTAGATCAAGGTAAACCTATTTGGGAGATAAGTGAAGAAATACGAACCGAGATATCGTCTGAACTTTCGAATTGAATTTCATTGACATAAAAGATATGAAGAAAAAATTCGTTTTACGGTGTTTTGTGAAAATTAAAAAATTGGGTTTTACTGATTTGCGATTCATTTTAAAATATTAAACATTTTATTTATTTATTTTTTTGTGTAATATGCTAATGTATATAAAAATAAAATGAAAATATATATATATATATATATATATATATATATATATATATATACATGTATTCAAACTTCTAGTGCGCAATTTAAAGTTTTCCTAAGAAATGAACGAATTCTATGAAATTTTCTCACTTCACTTCATTTTATCAAAAATTTTACATCATTTTGTTTTTATTTACGTTTGTGTGATTTTTTTTATTAATTGTATTATTGTAAATACACAAACGTCAAACTTGTTCCTTATATTCGAATTATTTTTTCAAAATAAATTTCGAATGACGAGATATGTATAACTAATTCTTAGGCAAACAGCTCTTTAAGTATGCCGTCCAAACGGGGGCTAATTAATTAACTAAAATGGACATAATGAGCGCCCAGTAGTTTCTGCTCGTCGTTCAAAGCAAACATGGATGCATAGGTTATATCCATAGGTTACAGTCATGCTCAAAGCTCATGGATGCTACAAATGTTTGCGAATCCAATACTTACCTAAAAAACATGAACATCAGTTTTTTACTTGTTTAACTGAATCACGCTTATACCCGAGCAATAACTATTATCTTTCGATTTATCTCTTAACGCACTCGTTTAATTGCTTAGTTAATGAATAAAAAACTTTCGTCATTATTCGTTTGCTTACATTTTGTAGCTTAATAAACTATTCATTTTATAGTATAATTTATGGGAAAAGAATTTGCATTGAAACGACTTACATAAAACGATTGTAAAAACTTTTTTGTAAAACTTCATCAATTTACATTTCAACTAAGCGAATTTACATCATCCTCCATCCTTCATATTTAATTGAAAAGTGAAAATCTTAACATCCACAGATATGTTGAATACCTCGTGTTGAGTGTTGAGATAATAACACTTGCGTTCGCTTTCGAATGCAATTCAATTGCACTTCAATTTTAATTCACTTGATTAAATAACATTAATGAAATTTGTTCGTGAAATCGGGTACGGCAAAGCTATTCTTTCTTTTTTTTTTTTCTCATGGGAAACAAAAAAAAAAACAAACTTAAGCTTCAGTTTGATTTCGCACGCATTTAATCATTAAACATGTTAACAATATTTTGATGTATTGCTGCTGGCGTCAATTCTTCTTCTTCTTTTTCTTCTTCTTTTACTTGGCCATTATCAGACCAATTCTATGTGGCTCTTCAAAGACAATAATATGTTTTTAGCATTTGAAGCATGCTTTTCATCGCGTTCGTATTTATGCATCTTTAGTAACACAAAAGTTACCAGCATAGTTACTTGTCTTTTCACTGTCTCACAATTTTCATAAGAACTCAACCGCTTTCGCATTCGCATTCGCATTCGCATTCGCATTCGCATTCGCTTTCCCTTTCTCTGCCTTTATTTACTTCGAATAAATAAAGCAATAAAGTAAGAAATGAATCAATGTTTGATAGAATTTTAAATAAAACAAGTAAAAACTTTGTAGTGAGAAACAAATCACTTTTAAATACCATATGCCTTAATAGCTTAATGCAATTATTCACATAACGACTTTTCAAAATAAGGCATTAGACAGGACGGGACGTAGTCGAAAAGATTGTCTATCCATGGACATCGACATATATATATATATGTATTTTGTATATATTTATTTCATCAAAATATCTCAAAAATTACGACCTGCAAGCCGAACACACCGTTGAATGTATTTCAAATTTTTCGCCATGATGTATGCATCCCTTGGACGCCAAATTGCGTAGCCTACATTTGTATGACTAATAAAAGTAAGTAATAATTTTCAATATTTTGCTAAACGGGTCGGTATCATAAAAAACACATATAAAACTGATGAACAAAAAGATCTCTGTGATAGAGAATAAAAGCTAAAACCAAACAGATAAGAGGATTAACAAATGAAACAAGAACAAGAGAGCAGTTTGTAAGTAAAGAATATATATATATATATATATAATATTTTTTCCTTTAATAAGGACATCTCTGTGCGAATTACAAAATCGTCGTCTGACTTACGTGAGTGCTGAAAAGTTTAAATTCGTATTTTTCTAATTTTATATTTCATAGTTAAGCGCTGCGCAAACCTTTTCGTCCGAAAATATATATATATATATATATATATTGATGTTCTTCCGCTGAAAGCGGCCAATGTCCTTAAATAATGAGTAAAAACTTTTCTTTTAGCTTTAATTGCATTCTGCATTATAACTGCATATTGATAAGCAATGCTGTGTTATTGGCTAACATAAAAAGGTTAACACTATTTACTTGCGATTCGCAATTTTAACATTTCGAGCTTTTAAACATTTTCTTGACACTTTGCTTTACAAACTCAATTCTAAAATAAATTTCTTTTTCAAATTTTACTTTACACATTCTATTCTACATGAAATTTACTCAAATCGTTACACCTCTATTTTATTCTCCTCTTCAATTAATCAACTGAGAGCGTTTATTTGTGGACACGTAAATGAAAAAAATAGCGACAATTAGTGCTAGTTAGTAGTGCAGCCATAACGTACGTAATGTTGAGAAAATTTCATTTCGTTGAATGCAAGATCTCATCCATAATTCATTCGTTAACTGAAACTCAGCTTTATGTCTATGATTCAGCTAAGATGTCTGTGAACTAAATCAATCACTTTTCGCTCGATCGCTGGTATCAAGAAGAGGCAAATCATCGAAGTACTCAATCAATCAATGCTGACATCATTTGGACATGATTAGCATTAGTGGAACATAATCGCGATTCATAATCGCGTTTAGGTAGTGCAACCACATATTTTTTTTTTTTTTTTGCTATTAATCCTTTTTTATATAAATAATTCTTTTTCCATCGCGGCTTTTATTTGTTTAAATAAAATAAAAAAATCAAGTCTAAATTCTTCGAACGATCGA